CTATCACGCTGCGACCGAACGCGCTGCTTGCGTTTTCGATTATCTGACTTTTTACGAATGTACAATACACTCATTCTCGAGCGATACAAAACGAAGACCGGGGCACTTTCCTTGGTTCCCGAAACACCGGATATTGTGCGTGCGTATGCAAACTTAGTAAGACGTGGCTTAGTCACGTCACCCCACGAGTGCATCTTTGAGCTCAATTTCAATAATCCCTGAACTACAACTGAAAATTGGTCACCTTGAGCCTTGCACATATTTTGTTTGCCACACGTCCGCTTCTTGTTACTTCAATGGGCGAAAAGCAAGCCGCATCCTCACAGGAGTATCAACGTTGAGCCCAGCGTTGACGCATGAACTTGTAAGGAAACACAATAAATTCAACCTCACTCTGCACAAAAGTTACTATGATATCTTCCTCGTGTCATCATATATCTCCCACTCAAATTTTATGCTGATAGACGGTTAAGTTTTCGCAAACACTGAGATCGGCTAGCTACGACGGGGGCCCTAACAAGCGTCCCCTACTCCTCACTAAACCTTTTTGGACGAGCTTTTATTGACGCTCGAGATCTGTGCCTGAATGTGTCTGAATTTATCTCGGCATACTCAGTCAGGAAAAAAGCAAACACATAACAAATATTATGGCCATTACCAACTGTCAAATGCGCTTTGAATAATTTTGTTTGTTTGGCGCACCGCATAAGGGTTCATGCCCATTTGGCGCACGTCCGACGAACGGTGCGACTTTTTTCACACAAGTGCTCGACTTTTGCTTTCTTAAAACGGTTTGTATGTGCGAATGTGCCTATACGATTGCAGGATAACTTTATGCGCATGCGCGATGTTGAATATTAGTGGAATGCAAGTGGGTAGGGACTTCGCTTCGTGCAGTGCTGCGAGTCAGTACAGATAAGAGATAAGTGTGTTAAAATTTAGCTTTTCAATGGCGCCTCCGAGTTTTACCTCGCGTACTGAGGCGTATTAAGAAAAACAGTAATTGCGAAAAGTTATATTTCGTCGGACGCGGCGAAACAAACAAACTTGATAAACAACACTAATGTAACGGCGCGAGCTCGATGTATGCATACTTATTGGTTGCTACAGCTTGTTGATTCGTACACAAGCAAGATCCCCGAGCTTCGCAGCGTCGAGATTCCCAGCACTGGCTCGTCCACATACCTCGAACCGCTAACAGAAAGGCTCAAGTACGAAAGTACAAGCATGTGTCAAGACAAACTTTACATATGGTTCGGGCTTGCGCTAAAGCTTTGAGGTCTGGCCATTTAGGTTAGTTTAGAGACCACAAATGACGCTCTCGGGACCAGAAAACATGAGATAATGGCCGTTAATAGTCAAAGCTCTTTGTATAATCTCTTGTCGACGTGTCGATCAAAACCGAAACCATGCCACTCTCCTCCCTGGCCAACTAGTTCCCAGAGTGGAACGCGTGCCGTGTTGCATGCAGGGCTTTATGGAAGTAGTCTATTGCCCGCCTCTTTTTCGCTGGCAGAATCTTTGTTTTGTTTGAAGACAGATAGAAAAAGCTTATTTTTAAGTTCTGTTGTTAGAGACCGAGAAAGAATTATTGGTGCTTGCATACAATCGTCAATTGCAGACAAAAAAAGAAAGTGTTAAAAATTACTAATTGCGATTTGGTGTGGCTCACCGAGAGTGGGGATTCCAAACTAAAATGCCCCCTTTCGGGAGGGTAGCACTCTGAACGGCAGTAACGCCTCGAAGGACGCTACCCATAGGGACCATTTAAAACGGAAGTAAGAAGGACGCCCAGACGGGAATGGAACCCGCGACCGAGTGATTCTTAATTAAGTGGATATCATACAAACTGAGCTCAGCGGTGCAGGTGTTTGGTGAGCAGCCGTGGAAAGAGCAGGTGCATGGGGAAAGCTATTGCAAACCGCACACAAAATGTTTGGTTTGCGCTGTGCAGAGTTTGCGCTCTTCCGTCTTTTAAGCACTATCATGCTTACATAATTTTTTACTTGCAGCCACGGTTCCTTCTGTGATATCCAGAGTCATTGGCTCGTGGCGTTCAAAAGATAAGGGCTGTCTTCCAGAGGAGAAGAGAGAGCAGACATTCCTTTCGTGTTGGGTAGTGAAGGATGCTTTGAAGGGGAGGAAGTTGTCTCCATCCTTCCCTTCAGTAGACTGTCCCCGGCTTTAGTGAATACCCATGAGAAGAAAGTGGATAATCCTTCTGTTTGCTTTATGAAAAGACAAACGTAGCTGAGGCTGAAATAGAAATCTTAGTCACGTGGCTGGGTTATTCTGCAAAAACTAGAGCTTGAGAAAAAGGGCGATCCTATTAATAATGAATGCTTATACTTTTAATTAAGGAACCCGTGGCGTGCCTCCGGGACAAATATTGTGACTGAGGACGGGGGACTCGTAGGAGTAGCACGTAGCCCGAGCTGCGTGTTTTACCACAGGTCATGGTTGGCGCTTTGGATCTGCACTTTTCCGTGAACTCCTGACCATTCTTGGAGCACCAAGAATTTGTCCTATGCACTTGCCTACAGCATGGCCTCAAATTGCTAAAAACCCGTGCCTGTTCTACATTTTATGAACATGAAGAGTTCATCTTGAGCACTGGTTAGCTTGAATGGGAAATGCAACGATTTTCATAGTTTGAGCTAATATTGCTTTGAGAAAATATTACCACAAGCTGGAGTTAGCAAAGCAGAGACACGCTCCGAGTTCCAGGCATTGTTGGGATTTGGCCATTGTTGTCGTTGCAGCAATTTTGACACCTTATCACAAGCCCAGATCGAGCGCTCGCGCGAGACTTGGGTCCAGTTCATGAGCCGCATTTGAAATGTCGTCGCTTGGGAGACTATGTAAGCACCGCGATCTCCCGGTTACGTCGTCAAGTTTTGCAATGGAGAGGTTGAAAGAAAACGCTCATTTTTATTCTTGAAATTACTCCGCGACAAAGAAGTTTCTAAGTCAATGGCATTGCGTGTGAGCGTACTTGGGTCCCGCTAGTGCCAGTAAGCTTGTGTAAAGGGAAAAGCATTCCAGCTGAGTATCACAGCACCACTGCTTTAACTAAATATAAAAGTAATAATTTTCCTTAACCTTTTTTTTGCATTTTTCTAATTGTAAAATGCTAGAACCTCTGACTTCAACTCATCAGCCTATTGTGTTCTAGTAGTTTCCACTATCTGCATCCATGTCAGTATAATAATAACAAAAATAATAACAATAATCTTTATTTCTATGTGTCCTCAAATGGGTCATGACCCTCTCTGTAGTACACACAAAATATAAAGCAACTGTAAAAAAAAAGAAAAAAAAAGGATATTTTTAGTTTTGTACGCAATATGTCATCGAGATTACGGCGAAATGTTGCATCACAAATGATCTTTTAAGCTGGGCTCTAACACACTCATTAAATTCAAGTAGCATTCTGATAATAGGATAACTTGAATGAAAAAACACGGCACGATAAAACAGCACTAGAAGGAGAACACAAACACAGCGCCGTGTTTGTGTTGGGTCTTCACCGCTCTTCCTGGTTTCTGATCTTATCTCCTGGGTTCGAAGTGCTCATAGGCAAACATTGAATGGAAGAGCATTATCTATCCCACTGATCTCAGGCAGCACAATGTACTTCAGCTCGTCAATGCCTAGTTTGCGATCGATTGCCATTCTTTGTGAAAGTTTCAGGACAATGCGTGAAGTTTTCGCTAGATTTTGATTGCGTTTAGGGAACATCCAAAGTTAGAGTTGAGTGCTTGGGGCGACCACAAACTGAGCGACCACTGTTTCGAGAAACATTCCCGTACTGTTTTAAACCGCCCCCAAACAGAGAAGCCTTACTCATGGGGGGGTATTATAAGGACAGCACAATGCTTTAGCATCGGAACAAACATGTTTTTATTGTGAGATTTATGAAACTTGTCAGATTTAGAACCGATTGATACAAGGTGGCTGTAAAAATCTGTGTATTTGATTCGGCCCACGAAAGTGGAAGGCTTGTTAAAAATATTTTGGCGTATGTGGACCAAGTTGTAATGGAAGCTGTATCTCATTATTATCCATGTTCTAACAGAAAATTATGCACTCTATAAAAAACCCCAAAAGCTAGAGTTTCTGGTGTCAAGGAGTCTTGTATCATCCGTATTAGCACTATTTTATTTTAGAGACACTCCTTGTTTCTTTTTTTATAGTGATTACATTGAAGAATGTAGGAAACAAACTTGGGATGAAACCTAGTCTGTTCGAAAAATAGTAAGAGTGGATGCAGATTGATTTTATGGAGGCTTAAAGGGGCGGTGCAATGATTTTCGGACTTTGGCCAATCAACTGCTGGAATTAGTCTGTGTCACCTAGAAACCGAGGAACAGAAAACTGTGTTCTCTTACGTGCGCTAGTTTTTATTTAAAAAGATGAAACAAATCGAAGGTCGAAGTGCCTCTCAACTCTCACGTCATCTTTAGAGTGACATGCACTGGGGATACTGGGGGATCACATGGTTTCCCTTGGGTTCTCTGTTCAGAGACTCCCGCCGCTTTCCCCGCTTGCATGTTAGTTTGAATTATCCGCAAGTTTGAATTAAGAGAGCTTGAATTATTGAGATTCGACATAGCTAAAGAATAACACGCACAATTCGCAGTGACACTGCCGTTCCGTCTTGTTGCGAATTGTTCTTTATTATTTTTCTAGACTCGAGCAAACATATTTGACCAACACAGCGTTCTGATCCTGTTCGAGGATTTTCATTGCTAGATACAGCTGAAAATTTGCGTATTCCTACCGGCGGAAGGGTCAGCGGAAGCCCTCATGCCTTTTTGTTTTTTGTTACGTCAAGGTCGTCAAGCAACCTGCACGCTTTATCCTTTTGTAAACCATTATCACTGGCTCTTGCGAAAGGAATGTGCGCCCTTCAGAGCATAGTGTCCCCGTGAAAACATGAGCTGCGTTATCTCTCCGAGAGGGGGAGATAAGCGGAGCACTTTCGTGACAGCAGGAAGCCCTTCCCGCCTTTATTCGGCCTCGCATCTGCCGAGGTGCAGTCAACCAGCCGTGGCATGGAGAACTACGACCGTGGCCGTCACGCCGGCGGCGGTTATCGAACGCTGGGAGATGGATTGCATCTAGGCTCAAATCGTTATCCTAGCGACAACGACCAGATTGGCGAACAGATTAGAAAACGGCGATTCGAAGACGACGCGGGCGATCGACGAGCGCGTTTGATTAACTCCGGAGATGACAATGCGTCAAATCTGCAACGGTCCGACCGTCGCGACGACCGTCACGGCGAACGAAGGCTGGACGAAAACGGTTGTAGTGATTGGGTGCGACGAAGTAGGTTCTACGATAATGAGGCGTACGATTGCGGAGGTGATTGCTCTGACCGCCGAACACCTGCATCGTACGAAGACTCTGCCAGCAAGAGGAACACTTATCGTTGGGAGAATCAGGATCGACAACGATCGGGGCTAAGTGTCGAAGAACGAGATAATGTGCGTGATTGGAGGCAAGGGATTGGCAGATATGAGTACCACGGCTCGTACGTTCCGGACATTGACTGTCTGTACGATAATGGGGGACGCGATCCGTACCGGCCGACGCAACATCTGCGGGAGTCTCGCGTGTTGCTTGGGCAAGATGGGCGCCGGAGCTTAGATGGAAGTGGACGTTGTTTGGACCAGTTTTTGGAGCAGAGCAGCATTCGTTTGGATCATCGCGAGGATCGAAGGAACGGAAGGATGAGTGTCGGGCAGAACTGCGAGCCGGTGGAAACTGACGTGCACCATCGATTCGATCGACACGGTAGGAGGCGAGGTGACCACCAATATCTTGAGCAACGGGGTGATTATTCGGATTCCCACCTGAGCTGCCGTATGGATCCGCGTAACGGTGTTCTGAATGACGGACAACACTTTGAGCGACAGGGTGATTGCCACGCATGCAACTCGGATCGTCACTTGGATCCCGTTTATAATCTGGAGGAGCTTCGGCACTGGTACGCCGACGAACATCACGTTTCGGAAGGTATGCACTATTCGGATCGACGCTTGTCTAATGGTTCGAATCGTCGCACGGACGACCAGCAGGATCGGCACGTCGGACAGCATGCTTCGTCGAGCGAGCCGGGACGAGCAGACGACAACCACATCGATCGTGACCAACGAGTAACGAGAGATCCATTCTGGAGTACAGATCGACGAGACAATCGCAGACTTTCGCAGGAAGCGGCAGTTTCGGCAGTCGACCCCGCGTGTCGCAAACCGTCGTGGAACGATGCATGTCAACGCAGGAACCTACCGGAGCTCCCGCTCTCTGCGATGAAAGCAGGCGATGACAAGCAGATGTCATCGGACTACAGGAGGGGAAAGCGAGCCCCACTGACACTGTCCACGTTTTGTCCGTCTGGACAGGACAGTGGCGTCTGGCTCGAGTTCCCAGACCGCAGTAAGACTAGTCTCGATGCGCCGCACAAGAGAAGAATGTTTTCAATGTCGACGATGGGCTCCCAAAAGTTTACGACTATGAGGGACGCACGGAAGATCGGGCAGATGATGGGCATGGCGGAAGACGAAGTGGACGCGGAACGTCGGGACAAGTCGGATGTGGTGGAAGAATATGGCGGAAGAGTCACTCGTGGGCAGTGGGCGAAGAGGTATGTCTCTGCACGTCTGCGTGCTTGGTGACTTTTTTTTGTCTGTCTGTTTCTTTTGGGAGTAATTTCAAGTTGAATTTGGTCATCGATATTCTGTTTCGTGCCGGTTTCACCGTTGCTCGTGGTTTACTCGTTTTCGCTGGTGTCTGTGAACAGACCTTCTGCCGCACACAATCAGTGAGTGCTGGTGCTTTTCTGGTCTTCAATTGTCTCTTCGTATTACGTGCTTTTTGTCTTCCATTCGCTGCCAGTTTACACAGGGTTTTGCAAACCTTTCGCAATTGCTTGTTCTCCCTCAAAGAATGCTGTCTTTTGCAATTGTTATCAGCTGTGTACAACAACAACAGATGCGTACGGCGCTGCGAGTCTGCTGGGTCGCGATTGGCTGTGGTTCTGCCAAGCCACCTCGTTACCTTCGACCTTCATTACCTTTGAGAGGCGGCGCAGTGATCTGCAGAAAGCGTAGTTGCATGCTACATTCGCGGAGCTGAATTGACCGGGATGGCTCGCAGTATCCGCTTCGGTCAGCCATAAAGTCAGACGGAGCATAGACAACAGTTGCGGGTTTGCATATTCCCGTGAAGTTTCCCATATATCTTATTACAATTTGAGAGACGGTGCATAATACTAGTTAATTTGAGCACGTTGTTATAATTAATATATAGAAACGAAAGAATAAAAAACTTGAAAAAACATTGTTGCTATTTGAAAGAGTGTGGTCGTCCGTGTATGCTTTTATTCTTTCGTTTTTACGTATGGTTACATAATAATTGTGTTGTGTGTGTGTATATAGAGCCGGAAGATAGTCAGCCCCAATGGGCGTGGTGTCTCGGCTGTAGATGAGAAATTTAACCTGTGCGGTACGATCACGTTTACGTGCACCATGCGGTAACGATACATGACCGTACGCCGGTACGATGCTCACCCCGGTCAAAATGGGCAGGGGATCCTGGGATTGAACCCAGGATCCCCGAGTTCTGCGGCACGAGCTTTCGCTGCGGGACAGTGCAGCAGCATCATCGACTTTTAAACGGGTGGCAAACATTTTCGCTGGGAATGAGAGCTCTGGAAGTTTTATGTGTCACCCATCCTGTGGTTTTCCATCCCCGGTGAGTAGCCATCTTTAGGCTAGAACAAGCGTCGCATTTGTCGGAAAAAAAGTTTGAATTTCAGCAGAAAACATTCTCTCTCTGAGCTCAGGATTCTTTTTTTCTGCATTTGCTTTTTTAGGAACCAGCTAGAGAAGACGCCACGCCAGCCTGGAGACCAGTTTGACACGTGGGACTTCAAGAGCATGAAGGTAAGGGGCTGAAAAATATACATTTATCATTTGATTGATTGGTCGACAAATTATTGCAAGAACTTGATTTATGAGGCCAGTTAAATATTCAGGTCAGGCGCATCCACCTGTTCTGATATTAATGAGTGATTTGTTAGGTGAATCACTAAAGCAACAGTGGTCAAGGAACAACACAGTGATTTTTTTGTGTGTTTGTTGACTGCAATTGACTAATTTAGCTATAATAAACACATTTTAAGAATGATGGATTAACTTGATTAATTAATCAGTAAAATATATAAATATCTAAATGAGGCTACAGTGGTTTTCAGATATTGGTGTTTTGATGTAGGTGATTAAACTGTCACTTAACTAATAAATTATATTTGAAGTATGGCTTCTGTGTATCTTACGTCATGTTACTACAACAAAGCAGTTTTCAGCTGCAAGCTCTGCTTGTATAATGTAGTGCCACGAAGGCCACTGAACAAATTTGCCCAAAATTTACTTTTGTAGCGTAAAAATAACAAAAATATGTTTTGCTTATCCATCAACCATCCAACCGAATATTTAGGATATGTGTGAATTACTCGAGTTTGAGTTACTGAGTGTCTGTTATATAATATGTGATAGGTACCTCTGGAGTCTGAGCTTGTAGGATGGGATTTCAGTCATAACCAATGAGGCTCCTTGTGTGCATTCCGTTTCCAACAGGCGATGAAGAAGGCATCCGAAATGAGCAAGGACATCACCGGCTGGCTTTCCATGTGGTCAAGCTCACTCAAGACCATCGAAGGTGGGTCACTCTTGAGATGCGGGCCTTACGTTTACTGGTGAATGCTACCGGGACCCTACCTCGGAAAAACTCACTCGTGAGAGCACTCACTCACCTCACTCACCATCATTGATCAGGGGTGAGGCGAGGATGAATGAGTTCTTTAACCTGGAAAAATTGTGAGTTTGACGTTGAGTGAGGGGCGTGAGTTCGGTGAGTTTACGAGTTCGGTGAGTTTATGAGCTTGATGAGAAGTTGAAGGTGAATGCAGCCGTGAGGGGGAGGCTGACTGAGTTTTGAACTTTTCTTTTAAACACGAGTTTGAGAGTGAGGGAATTGTTATTTGTTTTATTTTGAACTGGTTGTGAGTCGGTAATTGACCTTTTCCTGACCATGGGAAAAAAAGCCTGTTTTGTGTGACGTCTTTGCTGCTTTTTTTTCTTCTTTTTTTTTTATGAGGAAATTATTAGGTTTTCGATATAATGCCATACATAAAAATTAAGCTAACTAAGTGGGCTTTTGAGTTATGCAAATGTTACAGTAGATACTTCAATTCTAACACAAAATTTAATTCCTCAGACACAATATTTTTTTATAAAACGGTTTAAACCAAGCCAGTGTGGGTGGGTATATCTCAAAAGGAAAAAAGGTGGAAAAGAAAATTGAAATACCCTGTAGGAAATATTTAAAAAAAATTATTTGGACTACAAAAAGTTTTTCATAACTTCCAGCTCCAGCTCAAGAAGGTTTTGAGCTACCAAAACTCAAGTCAACCCCCACGACTGAAATGCCATTGGGCTAAGCAGTTTCTCAACGTGGCCGAGCACAAGTCATCAGAACTGAAATATGACGAACCAACTTCACCATTATACCTACGCTGCCATTTGAGTCCGAAAGAAACGATGAAGGATTTGCGAGAATTGCAATGCTTGCAAGCACACACTGGACCCCGACTCGCGTCAACGTTGATGCACCATTGGTTTCACGCTCGGCCTAGAAATCGTTGCCACGCAGAAAGACACGGAAGCCAAAACCGTAGCCTTCAAACTACTTACAAAGGGGTGCAAAAATGTTCCAAAAGCCGGCCATTCATGATTAAAAACAAATACCTCCGACTTGCATAACAATACCAACATTTATCAGACGTTTCGTCTCCTATACGGGAGACATCATCAGTGCGGCCTGGGAACACCCGACTAGCTACCAGAAGAAGCGTTGGATTTCTGGTAGCTAGTCAGGTGTTCCCAGGCCGCACTGATGATGTCTCCCGTATAGGAGACGAAACGTCTGATAAATGTTGGTATTGTTATGCAAGTCGGAGATATTTGTTTTTAATTACAAAAGGGTGCAGCGACTGTGGGAGCTCCACAGGAGTTTAAAAAAGGGCCTCCGTGCCCATCTGTCACTAGTGATTGACACTGTACGAACCCGGTCGAGAATGAAGTAATTTTTCATGATGGCAGCTCGACAGCTGCACTGCGCAGCACCATGTACACATTGATTTCATGGCAGCCGGCCGGCGTTTTCCTTCTTTTTAATTAATTTGTTGGATTCCTTACCGTTCTCGCTCAACTTGACCTTAGTTCCAAGATTTTTTCTTTTTTTAGAAACGGTTTTCGAGCTTGCACAGTGGTTTGCATTACGACAACTGCCTCGCCATTATGGTGCCTGAAATGCCTTTAAACACACCGGTCAGAAGCACGTTGCAGGCGCCACACCGTCGTGCTTTGTCGTCTGCTCAGGGCACTTTGGTACGGGCGTGGCATCATACTTCCTGTTCCTGCGGTGGCTGCTCCTGCTCAACATGCTCATGTTCCTCATGCCGGCACTCCTCGTCATCGTCCCGCACTGGGTCTTCCCCACGATGCCTCGGAGCGAACTCGCCGCTGCCAACTCGAGCACGCCGGATGCGTTGCCGCTGCCGTCGCCCATGGCGCATTCGGCTGTCGCCTTCACCACTTCCTTCCCGTTTTCGGTGAGTTTTGGCTGCTCCTCCCGCCATGTCTGCTTCTCGATAAGTGAACTGCGCAACTATGAAAGAACTCTAAAAGGAAGAGTGGCATTTTCATCCTTGGCACAATCAGGTTTGAATTGAACTTCTTTTTAATTACGAAGGATGGATTCCTTGGTGAGAGAAATCTGGTTTTGCTCTTCGGGATTGTGAGAAATCGTTACTTTTGTTCCATGGTCACCGCCAAATTGTTTTTTGTTGTAAGGACCATTTTTGTTTTATGGTACAAAGGTATGCTGCCAAGAGTCAAAGTTGGGCTTGGCATGCTCGACCTGACTTGTGAGTGTGCTAAATGTTACTTGCAAATCTTTTAAACCTGTCTGATGGTGAGCTAAGCTTGACTTACAAGCATACTGAACCTGACTTATCCTGATTTACAAACACACTGATATCCTGTCTTATCCTAATTTACAAATGTGCTAAACCTGACTTGTAAACATGGTATACTCTACTAAATATCACATCAAGTATGACTTACTAACTTGCTAACTTTGACTTTAGGCATGCCAATAGTGTCTTGCAAACATGCCAGACCCATTTGACAAATGTGACAAATGTTATTTACAAAAATGCTAAACTTGACTGAAAAATGCTCCAAGCATCTTGCAGACATGCTATGCCTGACTGAAAAATCTGCCAAGCATCTTACAAATATGCTCAACGTATGACCTACAAGCACACTACACCTGACTGACAAATGTGCCAAACATGGCCTAAACATCCTGAATGTGACTGACAAGCATGTTAAACCTGAAACATACTACACCTGACTTACACACGTGCCAAACATTTTACAAACCAATTACGAAACGACTAACACACATGCCAAGCTTGCCAAGATTGGCTCGCAAACACGCTAAGCCTGGCTCCATAAATTCTGCATTATCTGTAAGAAGTAGGGAGTCTGCAGTGATACGGCGATAACTTTCTCGCCATAAAGCATTTTTCGTGAGATTTGAATTCACAGGTATTGTAAGGGTCTTGTTTTAAGAATCGGGGCAGATTTACGCCTTGAGTAGACGAGCGCTGTTTTTGTCGAGCTCCGCCACTTTGCTTCGCGTCACAAACTGCCACGAGTGGCAGTTTGTGACGTGAATGCAAATACAGTTGAACCTCGATTTAACGAAGTCACCGGGGCCCGCTAATTATTTAGTTAAATAGGGAACTTTGTAAAATCGAGGAAGGGAGACCTCGCGCATAGGCTGTGCGGGAAATCCGAACTGGTTCGTTAAATCGGGAAATTCATAGAATCGGGTTTCGTTAAATCGAAGTTCAACTGTAAAGATTGAGATCAATACAGCACTGATTGCCGCGAGTCCTTACGCCTTGCAGACGGTGACTGCTCTTCCCTCGGAGTCTGAGCCGTCCGTCAAGAACCGGACGCTGCAGCTGGTGCAGGAGTGCTACGAGTCGTACCACAAGCGCGTCTCGGGTCAGACCAAGGAGGGCATCTCCCAGCTGCAGGACTTCCTCCAGGGCACTGTGAGTTCCCTCAGGGTCCCGCCGTTCATTCGAGGTGGCAACTTGTGGAGTTGTTGTTTCGACGTAGCCGAAACAGAATTGTGCAACAGTTGCCATCTAGAAAATGACCGTTCAGGAGCCTTTACGAACAAGGGCGCAGTAAAGATGTTTTTTCTTCGAGATTGCGCTGGGACCCGACGACGGAGGCAGCTGATGGTCGCTGACGGAAGAATAAATCGGACAGGACTCCGCGGATAGGGGGAAGAAAAAAAACACGTCTATTTACAAGTGAAGCTAATTTCCGAATGTCACAAAAAGGTCCCACCACGTGCCGTGTCAAGTCGCTGTCCGCCGATTCCGTTGTGAAGATCACGCCGCCGGGGTCCGCTCACGCAATCCTGTCGACTGCGCCTTGACACAGGACGTGGTGGACCTTTTTGTGACATTCGGAAATTAGCTTCACTTGTAAATAGACGTGTTTTTTTTCTTCCCCCTATCCGCGGAGTCCTGTCTGATTTATTCTTCCGTCAGCGACCATCAGCTGCCTCCGTCGTCGGGTCCCAGCGCAATCTCGAAGAAAAAACATCTTTACTGGCGCGTCTTCACAACCTAGAAATGGGACTATTTTAAGACTTAGTTTTTTAGAAAGTTGTAAATGTTGGTGGGTGCAACTGAGGGTGTGAGAGAACGGATTGCAATAAGCATGGTGGTGTTGCTTTCTGCACTAGCTGAACCATACTCTAAAGCTTTAATGTTTACCTAGACTCGGTAGATACAAGGTAGATTTTTTTCTTTGTAATATAGAGTAACTATTGTCATTTTCTCTTTTTGAAATGAGTCATTCATCTGTAATGGCATTAATTTATGCAAATTTCACTAGCTTTAGGATACCAGATAACCCTTGAGGATCCCCGGGTGTACACTTAAGGGGGGACGCGGGCCTTGAAAACTGAAAAATCGCGAAAAAGCTGATTTATTGAAAACCATATTATTGGGTCGTATATCTCCTAATCTACCTTTTCTGTATTTATCACCACTAAAATCACCGGGAAAATATTAAAAATAAAATATCTATGGGGCCTGGGTAGCTTTCAAGTAGCAGTCAAGCGCCAAAATCAACCGAAAGTTTGTGCTATCGGTGCTCCCGTTCTATTCGGCCGACGGCCGCCATTTTTGTCTTGTTTTGAACGTGAATTCTTTCTCTTCCTTCTCCCGATTTTCAAAATGGCGGCAGCCTCTTGGTTTCTGCGCGGTTGGCGTTTTGCCATGTTGCAATTGCACAGCCGTGATTGGACAAATCGCGCGGGAGAGCACGCGGCTACTATTGGCGGTGGCGCGCGTCCTCCTCTACATTTTCTTCCGTCGCTGCCGGTCGCGTCGTCTGCTACGGCAGTGGTCTCCTTGCCCCGCTCATTGTTAGCTCCGCTTCGCTTTTCGCCTTCTTTACGATCGTTCCCGCTGAACTTGGAGCAGTTTCTTGTAGCTGGCTCATCTATTTCGTAACCGCACACAATGTGTGAAACGTTCGGCGTGCAAAAGCGCTCCATGAAGCTGATCAGGATGGCAAAGTTGAAAGTTTCTGCTCAGCGTGTCGCCAATGCTCATCAGGTGGACGCTTCCAGTAATGGATCTTCCGTGCCGCCGACGCCGCCGAGGAAGAGGCCGTTGCTGCATGTATGCGTGGTTTCCCGAGCACATAGACCGCTGCAGTTTCTTCCGAGATTGCAGGCTCTGGCGCTCGGCTGGCGCCTACTGCGAGCAGGAGTGAATCGTCCAGCGCCCATCTCGCGACGGATTTTCTGACGCGCGATATCTCAGTGATATCTCAGGAACTGCTTATCCGATTTGCGTGCTGTCTTTTGTATCTTGTTCCTAACTAACATTGTGAGGGCATGACAATTCTGTTTTTTTTTTTTTTTTCAAAAGATTAACTAAAATTTTTTAATAAACAAAAAAAAAAAAAAATTGTGAATGTGTTTGATTGAAAACTGAAACTTCAACGTTGTGCTAAAATTCTTCTGCAAAGAAATTAAAAAAAGGCTCTGTTATGCCCAGGTGTACCTATCCAGTGGTAACCATGACGAATTTCACAATGCCACTGCCTTTTGCGGATTCTCCAGCATGGGGATAAGGGACAGATATAACCCATCTTGATAAGCTGTTATAACTTGAGAATGAATAATCGCAGTGTCATGAAACGTTGCAGTTAGTCTTATGTTAGTGTTATAAACATGCCCTGAAAATTTCATTCAGGTATCTCTAGAATTAAAAAGAAAGTGTTGTGTCTAAATTTCAACTGGCATTTGCTCAAATAGATTTTTCTTCTACCGTGGCTGCTCATCCCCGTGATACCTCAGGAACTGCTTATACGATTTGCGTGCTGTCTTTTGTATTTTGTTCCTAAATAACTTTGTGAGGGCGTGGCAAGCTTCTTCTTTTCAAAAATAAAGTAAAAAATTTGTAATAAAAAAAAAAAAAAAAATTATGAATGTATGTTAGATCGAAAACTGAAACTTCATCGCTCTGCTAAAATTTGTCTGCAAAGAAATTTAGAAAGAAAAGGGCTCTGTTATGCCCTGGGGTACCTATCCAGCGGTCACCATGATGAATTTCACACTGCCACTGCCTTTTGCAGATTCTCCAGGACAGGGGTAAGAGACACATATAACCCATCTTGATAAACTTTTATAACTTCAGAATGAATAATCACAGCCTCATGAAACTTTTAGTCTTATGTTAGTGTTATAAGCATGCCCTAAAATTTTCATTCAGGTATCTCTAGAAATAAGAAAGTTCATTTTCCATCCCCACCTCCCACCTTAAATAATTTTTTTAGCGAGAAATTGCCCCAGCGTCACATAATAAATACTACAGCCTAAAAGGAATGTGACGTCTTGCCTCATCCGAAAAGATCTGAGGAGCAATATTTGAAATGAAAATGTACGTTCGAAATTGGTAGCACTGGAAAATCCTTGCTCTCATCTTTGAAGGGAGCATGCGTATCAATGTGTAGTTTTAACCCCTCATTGACGAATGTTGCCTACAGCAACAAACTACGTAATATATATTTTTTAATTGTTTTGGTTTTATCACATTTTTTTTATATAGTAGTCTGGCAACAGCGATCCATAGAGGTTATGCAAGGAAGCCTCTTTCGGACTTTTGCCCGGTGTTGTTCACAGGCAACAAAGCTTACCATCCAATTTCTTTTTTATTTCAGCTCTGTCCTTTCATTTGTGTTTGTTGTTCATATCTTTAAAAAAAAGTGAATGTTTTAAACAATTTTTTGTATATCTCGTCAATAAAGGGTTTAGAAGTGTGCCATTTGGTATGTGCTTTGTGCAGGGCTGGATGGAGCTGACAGCGCTGTTTGTGGGCCGCTACCTCAACTCGGTGGACCATGTGCCAGGCACCACGCTCTCGTACAACTTCCCGCTGGCTTACGTCCTGGCCAACGTTGGATGCTTCCTCCTCTGCCTGCTCCTCATGGTCCAGTAGTAAGTCCTTTTGGCTCGCAGAGGTGGGTCTGTGGTAAAGCGAAATTGGGAGCCGTTGTTGTTTCATCAATTCATCAATTCACTGTGTTTGTAAAGTAGACTCATTAATTGAAGCTTTATGAAGCCACAAATTTTGTTTGAAACTTTGGCATCTTGTCTGGATCGCAAGTGCTGCACTTGGACAGAGAGTGAGCATTTGGCAGTGCACAGTTAAACTTTGTAGTAAAAAAAAACAAAAAAAAAACCTGTAGATATTTTAGGGGAGATCTTGTACAACTGTGTGTGTTGCACATCCCACTTTTCCAGCACCCGGAAAGGTGTACGTGAGGCGCTGCTGTTGTCGGAGGGCAAGTTGCACCGCTACTGCAACTTGGTGTTTGCCTCCTGGGATTTCTGCATTACGGACCAGAGGACCGCACGTCTCAAGCACATCAGCATCATACAGGAACTGAAGGCACGTCGGCTTCCTTCTCGATTCACCGGGGATGTCGAGTGAACCAGGAGTTCCTGGATTCCTCGTTTCTAGGAACCTGGGTACTCTACAAAACACCCCTAGGGATTTTTTTTTTTAGGGATTCCTCTAGAACTTTAAATTCCCTCACTTTAAAAGACTCCCTCATATCCCAAACTCAATTTACTTAACCCTTGTTGAGGTTCTTTCCCAGTTTAGGTGCAGTTAAAATCGACCCTTATTTTTCAACTCCTCAGAGTTTCTGGGGACTAGGAAACCCTACATTTCTCGTTTCTGGGAATAGAGAGGTTCACTGGGGCATCCCTAAGGGCTGTGCACTGTAGTTCTAGAAATTCTCTAGCCTCCCAAATCCTTTACTTTTTAAAAATTTCCCTAATTACAGATTTTTAAAGTTATTTTCTTGTTTAGGTGCTCCTAAGTATCCCCAAATTTTAACGCTTGAGGAATTTGCAGAGACTGAAACCCTAACCTACAGAAATCAGGAACTTATGGATTTCTTGGAGTACCTCTTAGAGCAGCTGCTCAAAGTACTTCCAGAGATTTCCCAGAGTATTCCAACAAATTTTCCAAAATCTGATATTTCCTCGTTTTGGAAATTCCTCGATCCCAAACGGTGCATGGGTGAAAATTCCTCAACTCTTTGGCTGCTCTTTGAGGCGACCGGGGGCATCCTTTTTACCTATATACTCCAAAAAGTAATTTCCGAGCCGGTTTTTTCGAAATTGGGAAGAATTGGAAGACTAAATTGGGGAGCTGTCCTCAAACAATAAAAAGCCAAGCTTCATTGGAAGTGGAACGTTTTCCGAATATCACACATGTTCCCCAGAAGTTCCCCAGAAGTTCCCCAGATTTTCCCGAGAAGTAATATGAAGAAACAATCTGCATTCGAAGAAAAATGAACCTCGAAAACACGGAAGCCTAATCGCGTGGAACGTTTGGTTACCTTTCCCGCCTCGCAGAGCGACCTGGCGGAAGAGCGCCGCAACATGGAGATAGCGCGATGGTCGCGGGGCAAGGAGGTGGGCCTCTTTGTGGTTCGCCTGGTCGCAAACGTCGTGGTGGTGGCCGTGGTGGCGGCATCCCTGCTGGCTGTCTACCAGGCCACCAGCTTCTCCTTTGAGGTAAGATTGATTGATTGATTGATTGATTCATTCATAGGTTCTCAAGCTGGGTCCTTAGGAACCCAAATTCCATTGACCGTCCTTTTCTCTAAGTAGCGTTTTTCCCCCATTTCGAGCACTATTTTAGAAGATCTGAGCCAACCGTTGATGGACAGCTACGTGCACGCTCCTCAGTATGTGTGTCATTCCTTATGAAGTCTAAAGGCCTCTGCGGTGCTTTATAGCTATCACGCCGAGTTTAAAAGGGTATCTTCGGCCACGAATGGTTGGAGGTAGGCGTTCCTTGAGATCATAACTTTTGAGAACTCCTGGGGTAAGCGTATGTGTCCTTTACACTCTTTCTCACCGTTCGTTTCCCTTGTGCTTGTCATCTCACGTTGACACTTGAGTACAAGCGCATGTGGGTGTGCACAAACATGTTACCACTTCTGCTGATGCAAGTAAGGTTGTCAGCGTGATTTTGTACACCTGTGTACGCTCAAGCGTATTCGCACGGCAGAGAAAGTTTGAAGCTGTGATCTGTCTCGGTTCTGTTTTTAATAACAATAAGAGTAATAATAATTTATTTTGACTTCTGAATCACAGGTGATAGGCAAGAGGTAAACAGATTTTACTAGACGAGGCCCCAGCACTCTTGCACGGGTCCATATCACATGAGCGAATGACGTTTTAGCGAACAGCGGTCATTTGAGCGAATCAATGTTTTAGAGAATGACAAAGGCATGTGCTAACCACCCTCCCCCCCCCCCCTCGCTGCGTTCACGCCGCTTGGCGGCGGCGGTCTGCGGTGGCTCGTTACTAAAATGTTGACTCACCTGGCCTACCCGTAAACTCCGCTTTGCGGCAGAAAAACCATTCGCTAAACTTTCTTCCAATGAAAAGTCAATGTTCACTAAAACGGCATTGCTCTTTGCCGAGGGTTGCTGCAAGGCGGAGTTCAGCAAGAATGCCTGACGGAGGCACCTACGCGAAGTGACTCAATGTTTTTGTGCTTGTCAATTTTATAAAAGTACAAAATCTAGTACCCCTGCTGGTAATGTCGCAGGACTAATTGAAAAGTATCAAAGCAGCAAAGCTCAACAAAACAAGAAAACAACGGCCGAAAAGGAGTCTAGTCTCGTCTGTGTCCTTTCTGACACCTTCCGTTTACTCCGTAGTGTTACGCATTTGCTGTATCGCTTTTTGCCGACGGCTGCCGAGTTCCGTCATGATTCCGGAGAGGAGGTGGCTCGTCAGAGTGACTCGGCCCTTTTCCGCTCCAGAAGCAGTCGCAGGAGCAGCACGAGGAGGGCGCCTTTGCCCTGGTGGTGCAGTTTGTGCCCTCCCTGGTCATCACGGGCCTGAACCTGGTGGTGCCCCTGCTCTTCTCCCTCCTCATTCGCTACGAGAACTACTCCGTGGGCTTCCAGGTCAAGCTCAACCTGCTCAGGTTGGGCCCTGTCGTCTGCCTCTTTGAACCTGGGGACCATCGAGAGTGGAACAGACGCCCCCGTGAAGTTTGTTTGACGTAGAATTTGTTTTCTTTGGCTCGAGGGCGATTTTAAAGAGAGGTGCGGCGATACAAACTATGCGTTGTGGACAAGCATACAAGGTTGGAGGGCCGGGATGTGACACACGTGGGTAACGTCACGTGACCTCGTCACGTGGCATCATCTTCTGACATTAGAAGGCACTGTACTCGTGTTCATTTCAAGAATCGTATTAAAGTCCGGCCCCTCGTGGAACAGTATACATTTCCCCTTTCATGCGTTGAGTTAAAGGGGCCCTGCGACAACTTTTTGACTGGTTTTTAATTTGCACCGAACCTGAGCGCACTGAACGTAGTAACTTAAAGAAACTTTTCTTTTCTCCAATTTTGCTTTATTTTAAAAGTTATAGGCAAAGTAGAATGACAAAAACAAGCAAAAAATAACCTCCGTCATGACATCGTAGGTCCTGGCTTGATTGGCCCTGAAGTAGTGAGCTCATCGAGCGCTCACGGCTGCCGCACTCAGTGTCGACGGCTCGAGAGGGCGCCACTAAAGCACGTGTTGAATGTGCTGTATGAAGCGGGCAGCCAGGGCGGCTCGCATTGCATTTGCTGCACGATTAAAGGCTAATTGGGCATAACAATTCATTGGCCACAAACGACAGCAAACGCGGGGTAAAGATCAGCTCAGAACGGGAGCCACTTCGTGCTGCTATACCGCCAAATGGCCAAATCGCCAGCCAAGCCCACGCCGAAAGCCTTCGGAACACTTTGAACCAGTGGGATCCTCAAGCCGGTATACGACTGCAGCACCACCACGTACATCTGGGACCTTTCTACGCTCGCCGTTCGTCGGAGCCTCATCCCACTAGCCCTTTCTAGTATGCGCCGTTTTTTCCGCCGCTCGGCGGCAGGTTTGTCAACGGGTCTTTTCTTGTTTCCGTGCTTTATGAACTGCATTTGTTTCTTTTCTGATCTAAAATATTAAACAAAAGCTACTTTCGTACATAATTGAAACGGTTCGCGACACTTATATTTTGTATCTCAACAAAAAAAAAAAAAAGAAGCTTTTAGCGGCTCTGATTAGTAGTAAGCCCAGGACCAAAGACGTCACATATTGCGCGCTGTCTGCAATGCGGGTCGCCCTCGTAGGTGGAGAAGGTTTCCGCGTCGTCCGGTTAAAATATGTCGCACTGATATTTAGTTACTCTCTTGTGCTCGCTGGCTTGCCCGAACCCTGAGGGACGTGGAAACCGCAAAAAAGGTAGACGCTTGAATATGATTGCAGGGCCCCTTTAACATATATGTAGGTGCATTTTAGATTAGCTTTATATTATTTTATTATGATGGACACATTTCTAATGCCAAAAGCATTGTTTCATCTCTCAACAACCAAATCAGTTAAAACCTACTTCGCGCAAAGCTTAAAGGGGCAGTCAAGTGGTTTTTGAGTTCGTGTTTTGATAATGACAGCTGAATTTAGACACCTTAGGTATCCCTAAAAACCAAAAAGTATAGTCATACGGTGATTATTTCTTTAATAAAAATGTAATTGAAGGCCGCCAAACCTCGGATCCATCCGAAAACGAAACCACTCTCATTGGTCGTTGCACGCTTATCAAAAGGATCTCGGGCCAATGGCGTGAGAGGACGTTCCGTCGCGCAGTGATCCCGAGGTAGCCGCATCGGCCGAACCTCTTTGTCATTCGAGCTTCGATCATGGCGGAGTTCTCTACGCTCGAGGACCTGACGCCGTTAGAGGTTGAAGTTCTTCGGCGGACAGCCGACCTGGGGATGATTTCCTATGACGCCACTCTGACGTGCAATGTGGACGATAGCAGCGCTTCGGAGTCATGTTCGGGTTCCGAGGACGACGAAACGCAGACCTATTCGGGCGTTCTTCGATTTGCGGTTGGGGCAAGTCGTAACCAAACCAACGTTTGACATCGCAGCGTTACCTCTGGTACGTGATGTCAAACGATGTCGCCACGTTGACTTTCGCCTCGGGAGAATGGGGGGAAGGCTGGTTCAGACATGTGCAACGAGCGCGTACCTACGACTGCGTCCGTTGCGACCGGAACGACCGCACTGACCGCACCGCACTGCGCCGCGCGTACACACACCTGTAACCACTACAACAAGCGCAGCGGGTCGTCAGCACGGCGACCGCTTCTGAACGCCGCCGTCAGCTGTGTCAGCGGCCCCTCTAAAAAAGGGGACGCACTGCTACTCAATGCCGTAACAGAATATAGACAGACAGTTTTCTAGTCTAAAGCTTTATTATTTTGTCTTGATAGGCTTGCAGGGTACAGCGAATGAAAAAAATAAAATAAAAAGATGCAGCGCCGTCTTGGACGATCACGACTCTAATACACGACATTGCAATAGTACAAATATCGCCACACGCCTTTTCTACGATTATAAAAGACAATGTAATCTTAGCAGCGATATAGCAACGTAGAAAAATGATTTCGTGATCAGATAGACGTTGCGAGCGTTCAGGATTGCTAACACTAATCACTTTTCTCCGGTGATGAAAACGCGTGAAAATTCGTATCCTTTATACGGTACGCGCCAGTAATACCTTGAACTTGAGCACAGGCATGAAATGCGCCAAATCAGAAATCCGGGCGATGTTCGAGGACACAAAGGCTTAGAAAGCACCACTGTAGTTGAAGTAAACAAACACGACGGCACGGGCGTTTCTGCTGTCTTGAGAGTGCCGCCACGACATCGCCGCACGAGTAGGTGGATGTTCCCTTCTAGTACGTGCTGCATAGCGAAACACGACGAAAATTCACAGTCAAGGATAGCGCTTTTACGCGGAACGATGAGCTTTCACCAGGCCGTCCATTCCGACGATCACCACCGACGCCACGTTTGCGGATAGAAGGAGCCGGCCGGCCCGTGACCGGCACGACCGGCCTGCAACGCGCGGAGATACGTGCGCTTCCGCGCATCCCTGGGGAACGGGAAATTCGCCCCCCGCGGAGGAAGGCAAATAGAAAACATACCGTAATATCCCGAGTCATCGCCCATCCCCGAGCCATCGCCCACCCCATTTTTTGGGCCAATATCGATTTTTGAAAAAACACCGAGTCATCGCCCACCCCTTCAAATACCCCAGCGCGGACTCTGCGATCCGCGAACACTCATCCTATCCGAATGACGCGGCCGCGGACCTTATAGTTGGAGGACGTCCGTGACAAAGTAAAACGAGGGAGGGAAAGACACTTCTTTTTGTTTACGAATTTCCTCCGTGAGCGATCCCAAAGTGGTCGTGTATCCGTGCGAAAAGAAAACGATGGAGATAACAAAATAAGAGTTTGTTAATGTAACCGCGGAGTGTTAGGTCAAAGTCTGTCTCCGCCGAAGTAAGGTCACTTCGAACCAGCTCCTTCTTTCCGCCCGTCGCGACCGCGGTTGTGCAATATTTTAGGCAAAACCAACGCGTAAATAAAGCTTTGCTGGAACGCCCTACACAGACGTTTGCAGAGCGTCCCAACCGTGCAGTGATAGCCCGTCGTGCACGGACGCACGTATGTACGCACCAAACAAGAAAGTTGCGGAAGAGCTTGCAATTGACAAGGCGCCCGACTTGGCCCGACGCCAAAATATTTGCCAACGCGACCGCCGGCTTTCCCGCTTTCCCAGCATTGCTCTTGGTCACTTCTTTGGTCCGCTCGCTCGCTCGCTCGCTCGTTGCGCCTGGTCGGTTTTTCTGTTTTCTTGTAGACTTTTTTTTCTTTCTTTTCTTTTTTACTAACTAGGAGAACATAGTGGTGACATTCTTTCACGGAACAAACATTCGCGCTATATGAAGATCGGCGGTGTTTCTAGCGCGTATGCAAGCAACGGACTTCGCAATAGTAAAATATTCTTTCGTGAGCATTTTTTTCTATAAAACAATGAAACTAAATCGAGTTTTGAGTTTGATGTATCTCTTGTGCATCAGCGCTTGGTACGCAGAGAAAAATAGGCAGTTTTTTCCGCTTTTTTTCAAGTGTTTGTGCTCACCCACCGAGACATGGCCCACCCCACTTTTTTAACGAATTTCAGGTGGTAGGGGGGTGGGCGATGACTCGGGATATTACGGTAGTCCCTTGTTTGTGAAACGATAATTGCGCTATCGCGTATTCTAAACTAGAAATATTTTACGTCTTGTGAAATTATCATGCACAACATATTTAAATGAACTGAAAATTGTTTTTTTAGCGAAACTTTAAAAAGACCGCCAAAATTTTCAAACATACGATAATTTCATTGGTCCTCGCAAGTACAGAAAAGAGTCCGCACATATTTTATTCCTGCGTGATTAATAGGCGTTTCTGCCTTCTAAAACTGAAGATACTCATTCACTGACACTTCCTTAACACCATCGCACCAAAAAGTAGCTTCTCCAAAAACCGCTTAAGTGTCCCTTTAAATATTGTGCAAATTTTTTATTTTTTTTTGGCATGAAAATTTGTATATTTTAGGCACATGTCACATGACCTGGTCACGTGACATGGGTGGCGTCGCTTTACATGATCACGTGATATCAGGAGGCACTAGTCGGAACGAACACCACGTGAAGTCATTTCGGACGAATGCTTATCTGAATGGATTCTTCGTTCACAGGCGTTTTGCAGGAACCTAACCACTTTTGGTTTCAAAGAAACATTAAACACCAGCAAAAAGCAAACATTTCAAGTGCCCTAGAGATCAAGGATGTTCCAACTCTCTGAATGAGAAATCTGTTTTCTATCCAGAAATATTTAATGCTCAGACTCTCTTCTATACACACTGCACATTGCTGCAGAACACATCTGTTCAGTACACTGATGAATCCTTGGCGCCGGACACCACGAAACCATCAGATTTTTCTGCAACTCTCTTTTGGGCACAAAGAATCGTCCCATTCTGCCTAGTTTGGCAGAAGTTTGGGGCGTCGTGACTTGATGCCCAGTTTGAAGGACTAATTCTAGAGGTGCCAGAGTGTTCTATCCAGACCTTTGTTGCAACTTGTCACCGGTTTTGCAAATCTAACACCTTTTTGACACATATTTACCAAGATGAATATTTTATGTACAAATTTGCAGCTTTAGGAACCAGAATTTATACGTCTGTGCCAAATTATTTGCATTATTTGCATTCGTAACGTAAAACTTCTGAAAAATCGCCCACTCCACGATTCCCGCTGACTATCAATCACGCAATGTCCGAAGGGATAGCATGAACCGCGCAATGTGCGGTATCGGTATATGTGACAAGCGTGTTCGCCATGGGTTCTCTCTCTCTCATGTTTATCGCACCGGGACACGTGAATCTGCTGCATCCACTATCTGCGGTATCTGTTCCCGTGACCTGCATGTCTGTAGCGGGTTCCCACAATTTGGTCCGTGATCTGCGCGTGCGTTATGGGTTCCCGCGACACCTGAGTTTATAGCGGGCTTTTGTGCGTTTGTCGCATTGCGAAGGGCGAATGTGCTGCATCTGCGTTCTCTGGTGTCCGTTCTAGTAATGGAAGAGTTTGTAGCGAATTCCCGCATACTTATTCCACCGTGTGACTCGGATTAGCCGTGTTCGCAATCTGTGGTATCAGTTCCCGTTTCGCGTAGTTTGTAATGGCGGCCCGCTCCCTAGCCCCCTTGTGCTTATCGCCAATTTTTTATGAAATTTCGGCATTGCATCTCCAAACATTGCTCACCTCATTTTTTCATTTATCTCTTCATTTTGGATGGGCATTCTTTCGGAACTTTACGGTACGTGGTTGTGTGCATTACCGTGAGGGGCTCCAAGCTTTTGGTAAGCACAAGAAAATACTTCATGACTAATTGCTAGACAGTTGTGTTGCATACGTGAAACGTTTAGTATCGCAAACATTTGTATCATCGTTTAGCAGCGGGTCTAGCTTGTTCGGCCAGACGCCTACATTCACTGTGCTCTTCATTGGATAACTTAGCGCGTGGCATGTGTGCACTTGAAACGATAAACCTGGTGATCTTCCAGAATCTTCTAACCCACTCCTTGTCCCCCACCTTGCCTACCTTTCCTCCTTACTCCACCCCTAGTCACATGACACCCCCCATTAACCGATCAGCATTGAGCACCTCACTCCTCCTCTCCCACCAGTAAACCGATCAATGTCGAGCCTCGCGGCACCCTTGCACCAAACGAAATGCCGAGCACCTAGCCAAAGAATGTTTCACGTTACCAAAACATTTATCTATTAGGGCGTAATCTTAATGGCGTGGATGGTTGTTTGCACTGCAGGACAGTGTTCCTGCGCTTCACGTCCATCTTTGTGCTGCTGCTGTCGCTGGATCGGCAGATCAACTGTCCGTCCTCGTCAAACCAGTCACCCTGCCTCGAGGGCAAAGATGAGTCCTGCAAGAAGCCCCTGGTGCGCCCTTTTGACGCGGAACTTGTTACGCGGCTGGCTGGTATCATCTTCCTGTAAAGACTGGTTGGCGTGTTTGCATTTGACTGTGATCAAGTACGTTGTGTTCTCTTGCGACGACCTAACGAATGGATGGATGGATGTGCGAATGGGGTCTGAACCCTTTTAGTTAGGTGGAAGCTTGTGTTACTTAGCCAGGGCTTGAAAAAGTAGTGTTAAACCTTTTGACGGTATGCTTTAACTTTGGAATTAATAGAGCCTGGTAAATCATCTTGCCAGCTAAAGAAACTTGGTTTCTTGCTAAAACGCTGGCACAATCTATTGAGTGGCCCCGTTACACTTCCAAACTGTGCATATATTGTTGTAATGTTGTGAGCATAATTCTTTTACCGTGGGCTTTATATAATTTTTACAACATTACGAGCAACTATTTGTCCTAGATTGTGCATTGATCGCAAATACTTCAAGACCTTCGGCCAAGTTGCTCGCAGACCCGAGCGAGCACAGCATACTTTGTTGCACTCGAAATGCAGATATTTTTACCCAGCCTTTAGTAGTTCTAGGAAAGACTTTGCACGTATATAGGAAAGGTGTCTGTGCAGTGCTGGGAGACAGCCGTGGGGCAGCAGATCTACAAGCTGACCATCCTGGACTTCCTGGTCAGCGTCGCGCTCGTCTTTGTCCTCGAGTGCCCCAGAAAGTGAGTGCAGCGGCTTCTCGACTTTCATCGCCGTTGTCACATGACCTTTCGGTCGGAAATTAATGCATGTTTTGTAGTTTAGGGGTGTCGCTTAACTTTGAAACCTTATTATTTGTGGCGTTTAAACCACAAGACTGGGAAGGAAACTTGAAGATATATAGAAGAAAGGTGACGTGCAGACGGGTGTCTGTCACCTTTCACACTTCTCTGTCACCCTTCTTACGTTTCTTCTAACATATCTTCAAGTTTCCTTGCCAGTGTTGGAGTTTAAACATCACAATTAATATGTACCAGCTCGCCTGCACGTTGACCATTTTTTTCATTAGAAATCTTGTTTAGGCAAAGTTGGAACAAGGTTCCACGTCCGTGCGTTTCTTGTGACATAGGCACCTTGTGACCCGATTGCCAGAAAGATGACGGTGGAAATTCGTCAAAATCTGCTTGTGCACCAGACTTTATCGCTCAAGTTGGTGCTGTATTACTGTGGACAGTACGAGCTGAAACAGCCCTCTGCACTTCTCTAGCTTACTTCTAAATTTTTCAAGAAGCTTTGGTGCAAACGTGCGTTGGAACGCAAAGCTTACATCCCAATCTATGAATCCATTTGAGAGGTAATAGAGCTTGTGCCAACCGTAGGCGTAGCAAGAGCCCAGACCGAGTCTTTCAGCTCAAGCTGTCCGAAGGTGTGCATTAACATTCTTCGTTACGCCTTTAGCTTCGCCGGCAGGCTTTTAGTTGGGACAGAAAAATGGGAGAGGTGACGATTCCGCTTCCAGGCTGACTCGGTCGTGCTTTGCGCAGGTTTCTGGTGACGAGGTTTGACTGCAGGCTGACGCGACTGATCGGACAGCAAGAATTCAACATTCCAAACCGTGTCCTGGATCTGGTTTACTCACAGACTCTTTGCTGGTCGGTACATGTCAGTGATCTTTGGCATAAAGAGATATTGATTATGGCATTTCCCCCTTACTTGTGTGCTTTTAGTGCAGAAGAGAACAAAAACCGAGGCTGTGGGTTTTGTTGCGTTTCTCTTTTTTTTTTCTTTTTTCTTTAATGCTCTTTAGGAGGTGTGGCCAACATGTTCTGAATTTTCTTTTCCCTCTCAAAGCTACTCATTGTGTTCTAGCAGAGCTGCGAACAAACTTAATGCTGCGATAAAGGCATGTGTAATGTCAGTTCAAGTGACAATGCATTTAACTTGAGTGCAAATGTTGCTGGTTTTTGGCTGCTGAAAGCTATTTCTTGACAAAAAAAAAAATCCGGCAGACACTTAAGACTGCTTACGTGCAGGAATGCAAAAGCATTCCTACATCCGGCGCATCCCTACAAGCAGTGCGCCACATCTTCCCATCGCACGTGGCTCTGCGGCTGTGACATCACGCTTCCCCACTGCACAGGCGCGGTGAACCCTGCCGGCTTTACGACGGCTTCTGTGACGAGGCATCTGCGTTGCTGTGCTTGAGGCGCGTGCTTGATGACATATTGGTGTGACCATCCTTCGGGCACAACGCCGCCACTTTTTCGCGTAATGGGGCAAGCAAGACTTTTGCCTTAGCGAGTTTGTTATGGCCATTGATGTTGCGTTCCTCTTTGCACAGTGTTACAGGACTGAACATTGTCTGGCAATGGAGCAGAAGGTGAACACGTTGACTGAATGTTTATCGGCATGCCATCTTGATGTCGTCTGTCATACTTTCTGACATGATTGTGCCTTTAGAAGTAATGTTTTTGGTGATTAGAGGGTCTTGATTTCTCTATGAATAAGGACAAGCTGTTGAAATTTGGCCAGCTATCTAAAATTGTTAATTTCTCCTTCCAGGTTGGGCACATTCTACTGCCCGTTGTTGCCGGCCATCAGCATTATCAAGTACTTCATCATCTTCTATGTGCAGAAGGTGAGTGATTGCGTTCTTATGATCAGCACCTTTTTGATGCTTTGCTAGAGCAGTCCCGCTTCAAGTTAACCACTAATCATTGCTTGTTAGTCTGTTTAGCTTGTCACCTGTCCTAGCAATTAAATTAACAGGTCCATAAAGCAAAAGCTGGCCGTTGAACAGCATCGATCCTTCTCTTTCTCTTCCTCAAAATAAATCGTGTCATTACATCATTACCATCTCAATATCATTGCAACATTCTTTTAAGGGGTGATGTGGGGCTTTAGAGTAATTTTTTTTATTTATTAAAGAATACTTACCATATTATACACTGGTATAACACATCTTGCACCTATTCCAAATATGCAATCAGATATTGAATATCTTTACTAGAACCCGAGTTATGGGAGATTGGTCTAATTTGATAGGTCATTTGTTACGGGTTGTTAGAGAAAATTTATTTTGTAAATTATCAAAATTTTTAATGCAACTGTTTTTACAAAGGTGTAATTTATGCAGTGATGCTATTTTAGATCTTAATGGAGAGGGTTATATTACTAAAAAAAACTATTGTAATTGTAGTCTAAAAGAGATGCTTTCTCATTATTTAAGAAAGTAATTAATTAGATAGAATTCTGAAGTTGGAACACTATAAAAATAGCATCACCGCACAGCTCCATTCTTCCCAACTAAAATGGCACCAAATTTGTTAATATTGTCCCAGACAAACTTCAGAAAACACCTGTAAGGCATCGGTACTTGTGAAAAAAGTGCAAGACAAACCTCAGAAAACGCCTGTAAGGCATCGGTTCTTGTGAAAAAAGTGTGAAGAGAGAAAAAAGCCCTTGAAGTATGTGTAGTCCTATTGCATGTTCATAGAAAATTAAGCCTTCATATTTTTCTTTCATATTTAAAAATTAGAAAAGCCATTTTCTCAAAAGTGAATTTTCCCCAGCTTTTTACCATTTAAAGACCAGCCTCCTCCCTTAATGTCATTTCAGCATCTTTTTAATGTCCTGCTACTTCATTACAACACATTCACAGTGTCTTTTCAATGTCATTGCAATATTATTTTGCAACATTCTTTCAGTGTCATTTTAGCATCATTTCATATTCATTGCGACTTCATTGTAATATTATTGCAAGATTCTTTAGGCGTCATTTCTACGTCCCGGCGGCCTATACTATACCAGTGGCTATCAGCTTTTAGAATCGGCCATTGTGGCACGGGAGCAGTAGGTAACTTGCACATCATTTCAATGTCGTTGCAACATTTTTGACGTAGAACTGCGTCTTTCTCCGGGCTTGGTAGGGGGTGCAAAGTTGGGAAGTCAATGTCACGAAAACTTGGTCACGGAAGTGATGTCACACAGATAACTCCGGAGCGCCGACCGAATTGCATCGCGTCGCTCCCTGACGGCGCGCCGCACTACTGCCGAGAGCCGCGCAGTGCACACGCGCGTCCTTTCTTATTTGCTGGCTTGCTCGTTTGCTTGCTTCAACGCAACGCGCTCCTGTCTGATTGAAACGGCGACAGGCACCGCTTTGGCAGCCGTAATGTCACAATTTTCGCTCGTCGTTCTGGACAGCGGCCGAGCTCGTTTGCTTTGCAGCACAAACAGTTCACGCGACTCGACGAAGCATTGATTTTTCCCCCTCTCATTCCTTGTGCCACCCAGATGTAGTCCTACGGAAATTTGTGCAGCATAAGACACCTTATCACCTACCAATTTTTTTTTTTTTTTTTTTTTCAACCTCATTGTTATTTTACAGTGACATTTCTTGTGTTGCAAGCTGCTATTGGCCTCCAGAATTGTCTTTCTATTAGGTAAAAGGACTTGTATTAGCTGTACCCCCATAAATAAAGTCGGAAGCGAGTCCTGTTGGTCGTTGAATTTGGCGTTAAAGAACCCGTTGATTCATCGTAATTATTTCTTCGTCCTGGAGTGTCCGTACGAACATGACTCAAGAGGCGAGAAACAAAAAGGTTAACACTGTCAAACTGCCAAACCTTGTTTCTTGGTTTGAAACATGGTTTTTGATGTCCCTCTCCTCTTTCTCTTCTTCACCCTGCGTGCAGTTCACCCTGATGCACAACAGCCAGCCGTCCCAGACGCCATACCGGGCTTCACGGTCCAACACGTTCTTCGTCGTGGTCCTCCTCATGGCCCTGTTCCTTGCCGTCATGCCGTTTGCCTACGCCCTCGTGGAGTGAGCCCCTCTTCTGCATTTGGTGGAATCTCGTTGAAGGGAAACCAATCAAATTGTAGATTCTTTTTCGGTCCCTTTAGGGGAAGCTCTAAAGCAGGGTCTCCAAACTTTTTGGCAAAGGGGCTGGATCGGGGATCTGTTGCTGTCTCGAAAGCCGGAAAATAAAAAAAAAAGTAAATATAAATGAGAAATAAACTTAATAGATAATCCTAGATCAGTATCTAAATGAAAAATTGAAAGTTAGAGTAACACAAAAGGAGCTAGGGTGGATGAAAAAGTTACTTTATTTTGAAATTCAATGTTTATATGACATTACACAATAATTGGGACCCAAAAAACTCGCGAGGGATAAATCAAAGCTTATAGGAACTATACATGTTCATGCAGGAAAAGATACTAATGAGAGGGGGAGAACTGACGCTGACAATATGCAGTAGATACTACACAGCACACTATACAGTCGCTGACCGATTTTTCGGACGTCGATAATTCGGACTTGTTAGGTATTTCTGACCTAACGGAAAAACCGGGACCTCTACCCGATAGAAATAGTGCATATCGACGACCCTATGTTTCGTACAGTTAAAGTTCGAAAGTTCAATTTTCCGGACAAAATAGTCACGAGCGATCAGCGGGAAACACCACCGAGAAGCCACCATTTTAGATTCTATGTTGACTGCACATGGATTGGCTTGGTTTGGCATCGCTACTTGAGTACTGCTGAGTCCTACCGCTAGGTGACGCTACGCTACGGCTTTTTAATGCGAAAGCATTAACTGGGGTCCCATGGAGCGAGCCGACGTCGTCGGCTTCAAACGGCCCCTTAAATCCTTTTGCCAAGTGCAGCCAGCTCCCAGCTATGAAACCACGCGAAAAGCCTGACAACGGCACCTAGTTTCCCCGTTTCAAACTCATTGACCGGCGTGCGTCGACAAGGCTCCCATTGGCCACTGCACATCAGTTTCAATGACCACTCACCCCCATGGCGCTGCGTGTCCGTCAGCGCGCCATTAACACGGAGCGTCCAAGGTCAGCCTTGACCGGCGACGAAAAGTACGCAGCAGATGAAATAAGGGAGCGGACGAGTTGCTTGCATGCTTTTGCATTCACAACTCATAGGGAGTGCGTAGGTGTACCCCGAGCCTCTTTTTCTCTAGCTGCACGTCATTATTATCATAATTGTTACCATTTTGCTTTGTTCATTCACCATTCTGCTGTCGCGGACTTGCGCCTCTCATCTCGCCTTGGTGAATCGCGTTTTCGGGCTGCGCTGGCTTGGTTGTCGTGGCCCCATCTATTCTTCTGCCATCGCGAAGTGTCGCCAAGAAGGGTGGAAATTACTCGACCATAACGCTAGAAAAGAAGGCAGCGATTCTCAAGCTAATAGAAAGTGGCCGAACGCTAGCGGAGCTGTAACCTGAAGCGAGACAGTATTGACAGATTTTTTAAGCCCACATAGATGTAATAAAGGCAAGTTTTTTATGTGCTGATTCTTTGGACTGCTCATTTTTTTCGGATGTTTTTTTCGGTCCCTCCGAAGTCTGAAAAATCGGTCATCGACTGTACATGGCAACGCAAAGGAATTTTAACATTTGTAGTTACGGATATGAAACGGGACTAGGAGCAGTGAAACTGGTGATGACAATGTCCAATTAATAATATGACGAGAAAACATGCCTTATCGATAGGCAGAATTTTCTTGTCTTTTACAGCGAAGCTGTTATGCGCTAGGATCTGGGAAAAAAATGTGTCCTCACATGTCAACAGAAAATTCCCCATTGGTCGTGGCAAGTATGTGTAAATAAAAATAAAAAGAGGGGACAACCAGCGTGAGCCAGCCTTCCTTGCCATTATTAGATAGTGAGGTCCTGATCCCTTGTTATCATCTCTAGGCATTTTCCTTGAGGTCGTCCGAGAGGTCGTCCTAGGCGTTGTCCGAAAGGTTGTACTGGAAGTCGTCCTTGAGGTCGTCCGAGAGGTCGTCCTAGGCATCGTCCTCTAGGCGTCGTCCGAGAGGTTGTCCTGGAAGTCGTTCTTGAGGTCGTCCTAGCCGTTCTCGAGGTTGTCCTAGTTGTCCTTGAGGTCATCCAAGAGGTCGTCGTCTTAGAAGTCATCCTTGAGGTTGTCCTAGAAGTCGTCCTTGAGGTCATCCGAGAGGTTGTCTTAGGCGTCGTCCTTGAGGTCGTCTTCTAGGTGTCATCCTTGAGGTTGTCCTTGACTTCGTCCTCGAGGTCGTCCTAGAAGTCCTTGAGGTCGTCTTAGACGTCGTCTTCTAGGAATCGTAATTGAGGTTCACGTGAAGAGGATGGGCTCTAAAATTTTTTATGGTGTCTTCGTTTACGCGGTTGGTGCGTGTTTCAACACCGTTTTTTTTATGTGCGTTCATTTTTGCGTGGTAGCAACAGGCGTGCTGAAAGCGAGCCGCGGGCTGGGCCTTATTGCAAGTACCGCGGCCAGCCATGGGCCTGTCGAAAGACCTCCACTGGCCGCGGTTCGGAGAACCCTGCTGTAGAGCATGATGTGGGGACACTATATGGTTAATGGATGACTACAGAGTTGCCTGTATGCTGAGAAAAACAATGTCTGACCAAAACCGGAGGACCAGCATGAGGGAAATGTGCCATCAGGGTTTCCTTGCAACTTGTGGTTTTTTTTCCTTTTTTTTTCACATCTGGTTTTTACGATTAATAAATATTGGGCTTGAGATTTTTAATTTCTCTTCTCTCAAGAAGGTAGGGTGAGGGAAAGGAAGGCTGGGGAAGAAGAATTAGATGGGACGCTGGAGAGGACGGGGGAAACCTAATCCTCTCTCCAGTGTTCTGTCTGCTTCCTCCTCCCCGGCCTTCCTTCTTGAGTTGCTTTGAGGCTGTTTATTCCTTCTATTATATTCAGAGTTCCGCATTGTTTTTGGACGTGACCAAGCCAAGCCAAGAAACGCCCAATTTCGAGGCGTAAACACCGAATTTACTCGCATAAGAAAAGCACTCGCACGACAAATATGCCCCCCAACAATCATTATTATTCAAACTTTTTTTTTTTTTAGCACATAATGAGCGCGTTTTAAATTTTTTATTTTACGAGTCTCGAATGGCGTCCAACAGGCCTTTCCACTTTTCCTGTGACGTCACGCCACAGGCCCGGCCGGCCAACGTCTGGTCTATTCTTCGGTCGTTCGGCAATGGCAGGGGAGACCATGGTATTGTGCATTTCCTCGAATTCATATTTCTGTTTGAGGTGATTTCCTGACCGAACCAGGGACGATCTGTACGCGACAGTGTGCACTGCGATGTGAACTGTTAGGAAAAGAAACTTGGGCCCCCGGATGCCTGCACTGAAAGGAATTTGAGATCGGGATAGGTAGGAAATGGTTTCGATGAGGCCTCGTTGTGTTGGACTGGCAGACGGTGATTTTACTTGACAACTGCGCTACCGTTTAGTTCTGTGTAATCCATGTAATCCTAACTCGTAGAGTTTTACTCAAAGGCACGCACTTGTTCGCTGATTCCTTAACTGGCTTGGGTCTAGTGTTAGAACCGTGCTGAGCACGAGAGCTTTTTTAAAGACACATATGCAAAGGAAAAAAGCTTTTTTTTTTTCAGCGGAGCTGTTTAGGGCTAGGTTTCCCAGGATCGTGTCCGTGTATGTCGACACAAACCTACCTGGACAGCTACCACCATCTATAATCGACGGTGGCAAGCACACAACCAGTATAGTTTTCGCCGTCGCTCGTAGATGGCGGCAACCTTTCCAGCTATAATAGAAGAATGGATAGTTGGGTGCGTTGGTGGGAATTCATTGTAGGAAACAGCGCAAAAAACGAACGACGACGAAGAAGAAGCACACAGTGTATCGAGTACAGTAGCAAAATGATTTGTTGGCCTAGTTGGTTAAACATTACGAAAAATAAAAAAGTGCAAAAGGCAAGGACAAGAGGGAGACAACACAGGACAAGCGCTTACTCGCAACTGACGTATTAATTCGGAAGATGAGGAAGATGAAGAACCCTAACGTTAAATGTTAGAAATATTTATGAGAAAGGAGTGAAAGGATCTGAAAAGACTGAGAATTGAAAAAGAAAAAAGAAAGAAAGAAAGGAAATTTCTTTCTTTCTTTATAAATGTTTCTAACATTTAACGTTAGGGTTCTTCATCTTCCTCATCTTCCGAATTAAAACGTCAGTTGCAAGTAAGCGCTTGTCCTGTGTTGTCTCCCTCTTGTCCTTGTCCTTTGCGCTTTTTTATTTTTCGTATCGAGTACAGCTCCACTGGTCTCCCTTCTTCACGAGAGTGGAAAGGCTGAACGATTTTAAACAGCCTAGATGGAAAAAGAATGTTTTAAAACTAATTTACAACGAAGAAAAAAATTTTAGAGCTATATTTACGGTGCAAAACAAATTTGTAATGCGCCCGTGACACAAACCTACCTGGACAGCTACCGCCATCTATAATCGACGGCGGCAAGCACACAACCAGTATGGTGTCCGCCGTCGCTCGTAGATGGCGGCAACCTTTCCAGCTATCATGGAAGAATGGATAGTTGGGTGCGTTGGTGGGAATTCATTGTAGGAAACAGCGCAAAAAATGGACGACGACGAAGAAGAAGCACACAGTGTATCGAGTACAGCTCCGCTGGTCTTCCTTCTTCACGAGAGTGGAAAGGCTGAGCGTTTTTAAACAGCCTAGATGAAAAAAGAATGTTATAAAATGAATTTACAACGAAGAAAAAAAAATTTTGAGCTATATTTACGATGCAAAACGAATTTGTAATGCACCCGCAACAGCCGCCGGGGGTCACGTGGTAGACCTGTGCTCTGTCGCGCGGTGCTGCTGCCGCCTCAAAGTCGCGCCGCTGCTGCACGCTGAGTGTAGTGCGCCGCCGTTTCAACGTGTTTCTCCACGCCGCCGCCACCGTCATCTGACCGGTGCACAGGTCTATCACGTCTGCTTGCGCTTTTTGAGTAGCTTCGTTTGGGCTCTAAAACTTACTTATTACTCTTCGTTTCTTTCTGCACTTGAAACAAAGATGAAAAAGTAACTTTTAGAGACCACAGGAAACTTCTGAAAGAACGCAAGCACAACGTAACAAATAGCAACCACTTTTCCATGGCGCCCGCGGACGCCAACTGCAAATTCGTTTAGCGCCGTAAATATAGCTTTAAAAATATTTATTTTTCGTTGTAAATTCGTTTTATGACTTCCAACCAGGCTGTTTAAAAAAAATGAATCTTTCCTTTGCATGTGTCTTTTAAGAGGAGAGGACGACGAATTCCCGCGGAACATGCAACGATCTGGACGTTCTAAGTTCTGCATGCGTATGAAATGCCTTATGACCGCATATTTGACAAATTTGACGACGTAATTCATGACGGGTGAACAGCGTGGGCGACCAGGCTAGAACTTGCCCGGCGGCGAGCCAAGCCGGTGCGACCAGAGAGGCCGGACACATCTGTTGTCGTCACTCTGATGTGGAGAGGAGGTATTAGAGAGGCCTGTCAGTCGAGGTGGTGTCAGTCCAACTCGGCCAGCCACCAAGCCAATTTCTTTTTGCCTTCATGCGATGAAGCCAAGTCAGGTCAGGCCAAGTGTGGCAGTAAATGCATGCGTAATGGCTGCAAGTGGGAAGTTGCGAGAGTGATCAACAGTGAAACCGAGTGACGCGCACAGCTAACAAAGCTGCGGTCAAAGAATTGCCCAGTGCCCGGAGGCACTTCGTTCGTTAGTTGCATCGATGGGGACAAATATGCCGTCTACTGTTGTCCGCTTTCGGACAGTGAAATTGTCAAAGTGGTTATGCCTAGGAACGGTCGTGTTGCTTTTTGTGTCAAGTGAGCTTCGTACGGCACTTTTTCTTGAGCAAAAAGAATGCCGAAGGTGCCCTAAAAACGTTAGCAATTTATAGAGCATGGTTACCGTGCCACACTTACGACCAGCCATGGGTGCACTCCTGTTCACTGGAGACACATTACCCTGCTGCTTCAGAATGGTGACTGAGATGACACTTGTGCAAAGTGTTTAAATGCACAAAACTTTACCCCGCATAATGAACGCACCCTCCAAATATCGGTCAATTTTTCAGGGTAAAAAGCGTGTTTGTTACGCGAGTAAATATGGTATTTGTCTCTAGTAGTTATGTCATTATAGGCAGTGTTTGTGTGACAGGCTAGATGTACACAAGGATAAGTGGGAAACACATACAAACACATCATTGTCCCTTGTCCTTGTTCTTTGTCCACTTTTCTCTTTATCCTTTTTGCACTGTTTCTTTTACCCTCGTCGTGCGTGCACTGACTCGCCCAACTACACACCTTGCTAGATAGCAAACCTCTGTTGGAGGTGTTTCAAAGTAAAGTATGGCCTTGTCTTGACGAGACGAGATGAAGCAAATCTAGTCCGTACAGAGACCTTCTGTGGAGAAAGGGCAACCCATTTTCTAGTGACTAGGGTAGGTGTTCACGCTGCAGTCACCTTTGTTGATCCGAGCGTGCATGACGACGTCTTGGACAGCGTGACGTTTGCTGTCGCAGGATTCCTCCGTCGTTGGCGTGCGGTCCGTTCCAGCGGTTTGGGGCCACCTGGGACGTGGTGCGGTTCACGGTGCGCTCCTGGGGTTGGCCCCTGGTGGACATCGTCAACTTCTTCACCAGCGTCGCCTTTGCTGTTCCTGCCGTGGTGGTCCTGGCGTGAGTGCTCGTGTTGTTGGCTAAGCACGGGCGCGGTCCTAAAGGGGCACTAGTCCGAAATTTTCCATTTACTGTCGCAACTCAATTCACGGGCTCTAAGCACCCTAGAAACCCAAGATTGCATCGATGGGACGACTTCCCCATCAAAAGCCAAATCAAAGGTTGCGACGCGTCCCTTTTTCCGCGATTCGGCGCAGAAACCAGAGGGTGTCGTTGGACGTGCGACGGCCAATCGCGAGCGCTCGCTTCTCGTGCGTGATCGGCACACATTTGAAAGTGAGTGTGCCACCGGTCGGCCCCCCCGCTGCACGGGAAGTGATCGCAAGCAATTGGCTCCCACACGTGCGACTGAGCCATCTGGTTTCTGCGCCGAATCGCAGAAAAGGGGGTGTGTCAGGATTTTCCATCTAGTTTTTGTTAGGGAAATTGGCCGCTCTTCAGTGCAATCTCTGATGTTCTAGAATGCTTAGAGCAGGGGTGCACAACTAAAAATTTAGGCGGGCCAAAATTGGTTTATTGAAAACTGTTTCGGGCCGCACCTAGTGCGACGTGTTGCACATTTTGGCTGCAGTCAGGCTTCCGATATCATGTGTCATCTCACTCGTTGCCGTCGTCAGCACATCTCGCAATGTCATGTCCATCATGGAAGATAGAGGGCGGCTCTTGTTGAGAGTCATCAGTGAAAAGGTTTGCTCACAGACATACTTGCTCCCGAAACGTGACGACTATTTTTTAGGCGTGGCCCACCAGGTTTCCGTACTTGTTCTTGTCCAGGCTTTTGTAAAACTCGTGCAGCTGAAATTCGAGATGAATAGTCTTCAGCGCCGGTGGACACTGGAGGTCGATAAGTTCCAATTTCATTGTCGGATCACAGTCCTCCAATCCGATGATGCGACCCCTAACTACCCTAACAAAAAGGGAGGGGGCTGATAGCGTCCGTGGTGAAAGAGGGAAGGGATCTGTTGAGATAGAGCAACAAGTTTTCGCGTTCCATGTACAGACATGTTGAGACAGATCCACACCATGGACAGGGACAGCTGCACATGCTGTTTTATTGTTCTCTGTGGGATTAGTGAAGAGGGAAAATTTCAGTTGAGAAATTGTAGTTACTTCGCCGAAGACAGAGAAGTAGGTCAGAGGGTTTCACTGCTGCTTGCCAAGCGGAGCGGGCGCTCAATGGATAGAATGGCATAGTAAGCGAATTTCTGTGCTGAGCCAGGACGCGGGCCGCTAGAAAAGCGCTCGTGGGCCACATGCGGCCCGCGGGCCGTATGTTGTGCATCCCTGGCTTAGAGCCTGTAAATTCGAGCAGCCTGATGGAGAATAGTCATAAAAAATATTTAGAATGAGAAAAAAAAAATGTAGCTATATTTACGGCGCGAAACAATCTGTAGTTGGCGTCCGCGGGCACCCACAGGTCTACGTGACTACTGGCGTGTGACTAGTAGTCACGTAGACCTGTGCGCCGTTGCGCTGCGCCGCCACCTCAAGTTACGTTGGAGCCGTTCAGCGCCGCTGCTGAAAACCCCAGAACCCCCACATCCATGCCACATACTGATCATGACACGCTGCCAGCTGAACGAGTTTTTTTTTTTTGCTTTATAGAAACTCAGCTTTTCGACGTCACACCACTGTGGTGGCGCTGCTGTCAGCAGTGTGCATGCGCAGACGCGTCACTTCTTCCGAATTCGGTTTCTGCGCATGCGCAATGCCCACACCTGGTATGGGCAAAGCGGACTTGTCTGTGAACAGTGAGTTGGTGTATATGCGCAAAGTAATTTAAGATATTGTTTCAAACAACAAAAAAAAAACTTCACAAGTCGTGTTTAGTCAAAAAAAAAAATTCAGAAAAAAAACTTTGAGCTTTTCCACTCTGGTGAAGAAGGAAGACCAGCAAAGCTGTATTATAATAGGGGAAATGAATAACATAGAAGTTTGGGCTAGTTGGTAAGTTGACATGATAAAAACAAAACAGCACAAAGACAAGGACGAAGTAAAAAAAACCACAGGACACAGCGCTGTGTCCTGTGGTTTGTTCTACTTCGTCCTTGTCTTTGCGCTGTTTTGTTTTTATCATGGGGGAATGAAGTAATGGCCGGCCGCAAGTTGTCAAGCCAGAGGTGAAAGGCTGCCGCAATCTATGAGCGTCGGTGCAACCAGACACCCGGCAAACACAACACTGTGGACAGCTACCACCATCTATGAGCGACGGCAGCAATCGGAGTGTTGTGCCGACATTTCTTTGCGGACAGACACGATCCTGGGGAAACTAGCGCTTAACAGCTCCCCTGTAAAAGTTATTGCTATTATTTAGAGACCTTTCTCCAGACGGCCACCTGGAGAAGAGAACACTCCAGCACGTCGCTGCCATCACTTTCTGACCGGCGCACAGGTCTATCATGTGGTGCTTGCGCTCTTTTGGGAGCTTCCCATAAGTTCTAAAAGTTAGTCGAATCTCGTTAATTCATACTCTCTTAATTCAAACTTGTGGATAATTCAAACTAACATGCAGGCCCCATCCTATGCGTCTCGATGAGGAGATACTTCTGATAATTCAAACTTTGCTTTATTCAAACAAATTTTCGGTCCCCTTCGATTTTGAATTAACGAGATTTGACTGTACTTATTAATCTTCAATCTTTTGTTTCACTTGAAGGGCAACTCCGCTCAATTCCAAAAATTATAGGCTTACATGTGATTCCATTTCGCAAAGCACTACTAAGCAGCCCTACGTCTTCAGACTCACGAAATGTGGAATATTATTTCTGTAATTTTAGTTTAAACATCAGCAGATACCGAAACCGAAACTCGGTTGCAACAGGCAACATTGATCTCGTGTCGTCAGAGTCATGTCCACGTCACGTCGAACCACGTGATCCAAAAGGTCACGTGATCCTCCATGCGACGGCAGGCGAACGTAGAGCCAAGCGCAAGTGTCGTCTGCCCTGCAATTTTCACCAGTGAAGTTTGCTACAACATCCAACAACATCTGCACCACTGCGGCCCCAGCCTACGCTTCGGGTTGCAATCTCGACCGAGGTACCCGCAATTTGTTGCGGGCTTATTGCCTCGAAGGTGTCGTGTAACTGAGATCTCGGTTACGTGTCACAAGATCTTCAGGTGGTCCAAATTAATCGTCAGGCCTCCGCTTGGGCATGCTAGATGCCCTTCGTAGGTCTGGCACATAAAGCTCCAACTTCACATTTATTTTACCGAAAAAAGCTGAGCCTTCACGCCTGGTCATATATGCCCGTTCACTGGGAAACGCCCGGCAAGTAGTGCGACCGACGCGGTGGTCGTTTGACCGTGCATGTGTCTCCTGCTTCAGTAGCCTGAATTGTGTACCTTTATGAAGCTGTACGGCAGACTACACGTTTATTGTCAATAGCAAAATAGTCAGCGAAAATAATCAATGACGTGATAAGTATGCTCCAGCACACATTCCCTTAGTTTCAGAGCAGAGCTGGTCTTTTCACGCACGTTTTGCTATTTAGCTGGTAACAGCAATTTAGTTAGTGTGATGAGCTCAACCAATCGGAACAGATCATTGTTCTGCGATTTGGTGACAACGGCTTCCCGGAGCCCCACCGGCACAGGATGTTCGTCCGTACATTCAGAGGCGCACTGTTGTGTGGAGACTTGTGAAAGACAAACTCCCCGGCTGGTCAACTGGTAGTTCGAGCAGGCAGCTGCACACCTGTACGCCTGTACCGGAAACAAAACATTGTTCTTAAACTACAACAGCGGCGGGATGAAATGCACTGCCCTCAGTTCCCAGCTCTCGGCTGGCGCGCAGGGCAGCGCAAACTAGCACATCCGGGTTATGGTGGTCACGTGGACGCCATATAGCCAACACCGGGAGGAGGAACTCATGACGTCATCGTTCAGTTTTGCTCCGAGAAGCAAAAACAAACAAAATGTGAGAATGGCGTAGATATGCCTCTGACGTAGTGGCTCAATGTTGGCTGCCCCAACACCGTGGCACCTCACGTCACACGCCAGAGTTGGCAGATTTTGGTGACTTGGCTCATTTGAAAGTTTGCTGGCCAGTTTATTAAATATATAGACAGAATAAGATCATAATATTTGACATCTGGTTTTCCTAGATGATACTGAAAAGGGCTGCATAGTTTTCTCTATATTAAAATGAAGCGGAGTTGCTCTTTAAAACGAAGATTAATAAGTAACATTTAGAGTCAATAGGAAGCTCCCGAAAGAGCGCAAGCACCATGTGACTATAGTAGCCAGTCACGTGACTCTAATAGCCACTTTTCCGTGGGCGCCAACTACAAATTCGTTTCGCACCGGAAGTAATGTTCTAGACTTCTTTTTTTTTTTGTAAATATATTTTACATTTTTTTTTTCTATCTAAACTGTTAAAAAAAATATTTTTTTGCATATGTTTTTTTAAATAAAGGCTGATTCATACATTTGCTTCCGACTGTTACCAACCACGTTGCGACTGCTTGACGCTGCTTACGACGTGATGACACACTTGTGCAGCCTATCGGATAGCCCTGGAACGCTTTCGACATACATATATCTCCTCATTTTCTATGAATCGTTCTTTTGTCGTGGGCCTGAAACACTTTAGACAACAATGTGAGCGACCATTCTTCACAGATGGTCCGTAGATTTGATCTTGCAGATACTGCAAAACCTTCGGCCTAGCTATACGCTGATCAAAGCTGTTCTAGGTCTACCTTATAAATGGCGCCAGTGTGTCCTCCAGTCTTCTTTTGTCGTAAGTGGCCACATGCAGTTACAACGTAGCCCATCTCACTCAAATGCAAATCTGTGCATTCAGCCTTCAGATGTGTCCGTTCCGGAACCTACCCCGATTTCTACCCCATACTTGGTGTCGACCATTTTGTGCTACATTATCGAGGCTGGCATAGCTTCTACGGGGCACTAATGCCGTCAAAACTACCTGTGCAAACGCTCGGCCTCATTTGCAGCCTTCTTTACACGAGATTGCACGCGATTGAGATGCAGGAGGACGCCACGCGCTAGTGCGATGGTTTGGGGCTGCAGCACTGCGGAAGATAACACTAAGTCTCAATGGCGTAGCACGAAATAGTTTATGCAAGGTGTGGTAAACTTGTCGTAGGGTAGGTGTCACTGACTGGGGTTAGGCGAACACACTTTTGAAGAAACTAGAGGTTTTAATACCAGGGTGACTAGTGACCGGGAAAACCGGAAATTGTCAGGGGAATTTTAATTACCGGGAAAAATCAGGGAATTGTCAGGGATATTGTCAAAAAGCGAGCCCAGTCAGGGAAAATGAGCCAGAAATGCCATCGAGTGCCCTGAGCAGAGACTTGAGAACTTGGGGCAGAAAAATAGGCACAAAATTCTGCTTAAGAGTGGAGCGCGGGCTCTGCTTACCCGATGGAAAGGGAACAGCCGACATATCCAGTCCAAGCCTTGGATTCGATTGAGGGTGCCAAGCCTAAAGACGACAGTATACGAAAGAGTGCATCTGGCGGCCATGCTGCCATTGGGTTATTGACGTGTGTAATTGAGCGTCGTGTTTTCATCGTGTTTCCGGAAGCGGCCTCTTCACTGACGATGTCGGCGGCAAGCAAGTGTTGGTTTAATCCAGACTGGACGAACCCGAATATTTCGGAATATGCAAGTTAGATTAAGCCCGTGCAAAATGATCCTCACAGTGCTCAATGCTCAATGCCTTGTGTTGTAATGGTCTTATATATTTAACCGCCTCTACAGTGGCCAGGGAATTTCACCTAAAATGTTCAGGGAAAACCTGGAAAAGTCAGGGAATTTCAGGATAATAATTTGCTAGACACCCTGTAATACTCGCTTTAATTTCGCTTAACTTTTTTCGTTGGCCTATGCTTGTTTGTGGCAGACGAACTGCGGGTCTTCGTTTACGTTAGCAGACGACTCGCATGTCTGGGGCTGTGACGATCTCAGCTCTTGGTGTTCGCCGTCCTCGTCATCCTTGCTGCAGGATCACCGTGTACTACTACTGGTCCGTGTCGGCAGCCCACGTTCACATGGAAAAGGCACTCAAGGACAAGCTCGTGCTTGAAGGAAAGGACAAGCAGTTCCTCCTGGCGAGGATCACAGAAGTGGCACGGCAGCAAACTGTGCCACATCCGTCCTAGAGGGGGTCATCTCGCGCATTGCGGAACATTGCATGCGTGTTTATTTATTTGCATCTTGACGCACTGCCAGCTCGGCGTTGTATAGACGTTTTCGGATGTGGATCTCCTCATAGACTGCCTAACGAAAAAGGTCTAAAGCCGTATCCGAACGCCATAGTGGCAGGGCCACAAGAGGATGCTCTCATCTGCTAGCTTGGTTTTCGTTGTGTAAATCTCGCAGCTCAATGGTTGCGTTTCAGGGAGTCATTGCAGTTGTGCAGTGTCGGCTCAGTTTTTGTACGAACACGAACCCTTGTGTATTTGTGGCTGTTCCCACATGTTGTGTGTAAGGATATTGACAAAGGGAGTGCCTTAGGTTGTGCTTGTTCGGTTATAAATGCCAACATTCGTGTGAACCAGTGCTTTGTAAGATAAAGCCTGTTTAAACATTCTTCTAAAATGTTGGTGTACTAACTGGATCTTACTAGAGTGCTATTGTGCTTGTGCACATAGCCCACAGTGCCCCATCTTGTCTGCTACCAGGGATTAAGTTCCCCCTTTAAAAACTATTTCCCTCATCGAGTCTTTCTTTTGGGGATTATTTCCAACATATAGGGATCATGTCCCTCCCCTGGGGATTGTCCTTCCTCTCTCCTTCACTCTTCTCTCCCAAATACTCTCCACCTCTAAGTGGAGAGTGTGCTCTGATTGGCTGAGCTTTGTCCTTCTCTCCTAGTCTCTTCTTTCCCTCCTTTGCTACCCTCACTCTTTGGGAGAGGGGAGTATTCTATAATGGTCTTCTGCCTTGCAGAAAAATGGTTTTACTTGTCTACCACTTTTTGGGGCACTGAAGACTGTACCTGTGTCTTGCACTTCGGAACAATCCAAGTGTGAACAAGTGAGCTAAGAAAATGATTTGATTTATAAAAATGGAGTGACTAAATATTATACATTCATTTTGTTTTTAAGTTGTGTTGAACAACATTCACCACATGTAGAGCAATACCACTCAAAGGCCTTGCCATAAAGCAACTGCCACATTGTTAACAGGAGATGTTGCGAAAAAGAAGAGAAATAAAAATAATAAGTAGATGTAGATACAGTAGCTGAACCCTCGGAATTGGGTGGCCGCTTGCTTTGCCTGGCCATGTATATGACCACAGCGATGCCGTTTTATGGCTCGGCGCAAGGAGAAAAGTCCAGACATACGCTGTCGGATTGAAGCCTTTATTGTATCATCTGGCCTCGTCAAATACAAGGAAGCAATAAGAAAACTGCATATATATATGTACATATCAGAACAAATGCTGCGTGATGGGCACCAAGTAAACTGCCATATCTCAGCATATAAGCAGTATTATTTAAATGGGTCATTCGGGACAAGGGGTATAACATCAAGGCAACCTGTAACATTGCATGTTGCATGCCCATGAAATCGGGTTTTATTATAGTGTTCACACATGTATGTGTGTCTCGGTATATAGTATATATATTTATGTCTGTACATTGGTGATATGCTATTAGGTAAAGGTAACTTGTAAACCTTTTTAAAAAGTATGACACAAGGCACAGATGAGATCTGACGACTCGAAGCACGTGTCTTCTATTTCTGTGAGGGGAACATGCAGAGTATGAAATCGTATAATCCGTAAAGCGAAAGGCAATCGTGCGTGGATATGGGGGGAATGCGCATTGTACATTTGTGGGTGAAGGTTTACCACAGGCAAAAGATTGCAGTGCTGTGCTTGTATGGTAAAAAGGTGGGGGAAATAGTATGGCACTCGCTACAGGCAAAATTGACTTGAGAGTGTGCGTGGCAATTGCAGAACACTATAACGCTACAAGTATATAGCTACCTTGGAAAAAAATGGTTGCAGAACTTCAATCACTTGCATTAGAGAGGATGCGAGGGGATGCTGGCGTGTGTATGCATATTGCTGTGGCGATAGTGCATAATGTACGCTAACTTATGTTCAAGTTTTGGTCTGTTTGTATCTTTTTTTTTTCGTTTGCGCTGCGGGTTGCAATAGACGATCCTGTAAGCTACAAGCGCGCAACCAAGTCTAGTTTGTTCATACTCGTGTGTTCTCACTTGCAACTGATACATTTCCTAGGCTAGCCTTGAAATAAATCAACAAGTAAACGGCGATGCACGGCTCGCGTGACCTTACGTTTTGCATAGAGATCGTCCTCCCTTACAGCACCTTACAGCACCTCCTCTCTGCCGGAGGTGCTGTAATCACGTTTTTTTTTTTTCTGTTGATATGGATTTATTAAGAAACTTTAATTACAATTAGCAGACTACCCATAGACCATTGCGTCTTTGCAACAAATAACTAGTTTGTTTCAATGGTAAAGCAAAGCAAGTAAAAACACTTTTCTCTAAAGATTGTTTTTTAAAGGCAGTTTCCATATGATGTCAGTAAACTTAAAAAACTCTTAACTCTTTCAAATTGAGGTGTCTTATAGGTGGGATCGATTTGTAATGGCACCTTTTAGTTGGAAACTAGTATCATTATCTGTTGCAGTTAACATAGGCGTTTTACTAAGTAAACACCCCAAATTCTTCTCTTTCATGAGCATGTTCCCAAACAAGCCACAATTCTGTACCATTTGTATACTCCAAGTTATTGCGCAGGACCCAGTTAAAAACCCGTCATAGGTTTCTCCATTACATTTATGAGCCATAACGCCTAATGGAAACAGTGTAGAACCATGCTGTGGAAACACATGCAGTTCCTATCCCTAAGAATCTTCCCATTCGGTCACTTGTGGTGTGCATTTGGACTTGGTGGCAAGAACCATGAAAGTAGTAATTAGTACTGTGCGAATATTCGAATAGTAGTTTAGAATATTATGCTATTCGATTCGAGAGCAGTTGTAATATTCGTGCCTTTTCAAGTGTTGGCGACCTCGAGTTGCGTGTTTGTTTACTGTCTAAAAATACGCAAGAAACAATTTCTAAAATCAAAAATATACTCACACGTTCGGCAAATTAAATGGTACAAATATTATGGTGGGAGCTCTCAAATATATTCACCGTAGTCATTTCATCAACTTCGTTTAAAAATGGGCAAAAGAAACCAATCAATGAGCTCCAGCAACGCCTGCGCCATCTTTGCCTATCTTGGCGCCCTGTATTCCAGTAAACAAGTCATACATGAATTAATTAGGGTCTCATTCTCACAAATCAGCCCACTTAATAATTGCACGTCTGCAATAATTATCTTGCATGCCACTTTGCGGCCAAGATTTATGAACAGCAAGTATTCAACATTCAATTCGAAAATATTCTGCCAAAATCGTTATTCGCCTCGAATTTGATTCGAAATCAAAATTCACTATTCGCACAGCCCTAGTAGTAATCTCTTGGAGATGCCCTCTGTAAACCTTTTTGTAGGGTTCTTGTCCCTCTAAAAGTTCTCCTTCAGAGGTTTTCTTACCATCTACTGCCTGATGGTAAGATGTTATCCTGATGGTCTCCTGGAGGCTGTTTGGGGTTTTTCGTCAGCCTCTGCTCTCTATGCCTGGTTGTTTTCGTGGGGGTTCTTTCAGAAGTCTGGCTCCCTGGGAGGTTCCTTTTTAGTGTTTTGTGAGATTCTATAGATATAGAACGTTTCTCTTAGAGTTCTTTGAGGTTATTCAGAAGTTTCATATGAATTATTTTACTCTCCATGGGGTCAGCTTGAGAGTTCTTTGATGGTCCTTGGGAAGTTCATTTTAGAGTTCTTGAGGTCCTTCAAGAGGTATGTTTTAGTGGAGATTCATTTTAGAGTTCCTTGATGTTCTCCAAGAGCATTGTTTTAGAGTTCCTTGTGGCTTTCCAGAAGGCTATTTTTTTAGTGTCTTGCAGTTCTACAAGGGCATTATATTACTCTTTGTGGCTTTCTGTGAGGTTTTTATTTGAGTTTCTCGAGAAGGTTTATTTCACTCATTTGAGACTCTAGGAGCTTACTTTTAGAGTTCCTTGATGCTCCCTGAGAGGGTTTTTCAGGCTTTGAGGTTTTCCAAAAGGTTCCTTTGACTTCTTTGAAACTCTCCAGGAGGTTAATTTTAGTGTTCTTTGAAACTCTGTGAGGAGTATTTTTAGGGTTCTTGAAGGTTTTCCCAAGAGGTTCCTTTTAGGTCTTTGAGACTACACTCGATGTTTTTATTATTTTTTAATTTTTTTTTTATTATCTCCAGAAAATATTTTAGTGTTCTTAGAGGTTCTCCAGGATGTTCGTTTTAGGACTTCAATACTTTCCAGAAGATTCAATAGGGAGTTCCCTGGTGCTTTTGTAGTTTTAAATTGTAGTCCCTTGCAGCTCTCCTGGAGGTTTATTTTAGAGTTCTTTATGTCAGATTCCGCGACATGGTGCTTGAGGCTGTCCATGAAGCGGCCGGTATCTCGGAAGAGCGTGGGCTTTAGAGATGTTCATTCTGGAGAAATTGCTACTATGTTTGCACTACTTGGAAAATTTGCTAGGGTTTAAAACTTTCTTATGGGCTTGTGTGTGGCCATGTGTGGTGAATTGATCTCCGATTTAAAATTCTGTTTCCGCTTTGACATCGCACAATTCGGAAGTCGAGAAAGCTTACTTTGTCGGAGCACCAGTTTTTAGAGCACCAATGATGAAAAAGGTGTCTTATTAAGGCAAGCGTTACTCTCGCTTGTGTTATGATGACATCAATGATTTTTCTTGTTTATTATCCACTTTAAAAAGGATATGTACTAATTTTTAGAGCGCAGCTCTTAGGCGCCTGTTTCCGGCTTGAGCGGCGTAGCCGTCGGCGTAGCCGTGCGGTTCGTTATGGGTAAATTTCCCCGCTAAATCTAGCGGAAAAAATTTCACCGCTAAATCTAGCGGAAAAAATATCCCCGCCAAATCTAGCGGAAAAATTTCCCCGCTAAATCTAGCGGAAAAATTTCCCCGCTAAATTTAGCGGAAAACTTTCCCCGCTAAATCTACCAGAAAAATTTCCCCGCTAAATTAAGCGGAAAAAATTCCCCGCTAAATCTAGCGAGAAAATTTCTCGGGGTCATGTGACACCCCCAGGTCACGTGACCCCCCACGTGATTTGGGGGGTCACGTGTTTCAGGGGGGGGGGGGTCACGTGACCTTTGTGGCCTTGGCTGCTCCTCCTCAAGAGCTGCGCTCTAATTCGGCGTTACGGGGAGTTGTAAACGGCTTTCATTTTTTGGGTGTATACTTTTTAACAACTGACGTCTTGCACAAACTGGCGGGAGCCACTGAGACCGAAACTAATAATGCTGTGAATCAGAGGCAGGTATGTGAGACGTCACCCCCAAAGTTTGTGCGGGTCCGGAGGCTCGTTTCTTTTCACTTCCGCTGTCAGGCGGGGTACCATCAGTACGGTAGGTCCCTAGACTTTTAACCGTGCCCGTAAAATGAAACGTCGAAATTCGCTTCGGTCTTCCTTTTTATCAATACTCTTTTTGGTGAACTTTGTGCCTTAGTAACGGGAGAGGGAGAGAGAAGGTGTCTCGGTGAAAAGTGGCGAAAGGCTCGAGAAGCCTGCCAAGGAACAGTCGGTGAAGTTGCGTGACACCGATGTCGTGCCGCGATTGGTCCCTTTCCAGGAGTGCACCATATGCAGGATGTCTGTATCCCAGAGGGAGGGCGCCCAAGTTGTCCGTTTGGGACAACTGCCGCCGGTCCTTAAAAACGAACGTCCCTAAAACCTACACTATGCAACGTCGTTTTGTGGGCTCAGTTTGCAGTAGGGATCCGGTTTTACGTGCATAGGAAACGAAACAACATGCAGCGTCACTTGGCAGCCAGGTGAGCCATCGAGTCGCCTCGCGCAAACATCTCCGCCTATCGAAAAAGTTTCCGCTGGTCTGTTTCGAAGGGAAGTTCTTGCAAAAAGGAGGCAATGTGATTATCACTTTAGTTGACGGTCGCTATACATGTGCGGGGACTCTGACATAAAACATCTCTGGACGCCACGTGAAAACGTCTCGCAATGATGTCCGTAGTCCCGTGGCGTGTTCCCGGGTGACAAGATTGTGCTTTCTGTTAATCTTCAGGTCTCTTTTTTCCGTCCTTAATGATTTCGAACCTAAGTTAAGACGGAGCCATTCATACTGCTATTATTGGGTGCAGGGCCGTACCCAGAAAAAAATTTCGGGGGGGGTTTTCGGGGACAACGGCGGCCATTTTGTCTGATTTTCGCCTATGAATCGTGCATCGGTGGCATATAATGAAGAGTTATAGCAAACCGAAGAACCGGTCCCGGTTTGGTACCCGGTAGCCGACCGGTGCCACTGCGCGTGCGCAGAGGTGGAGATTAAAATCGGCTGGCTGCAAGTGCACCGACCAGGGCCGTACCCAGAAAAAAATTTCGGGGGGGGTCAGAACCCCCTAACCCCCCCCCCTGGTTACGGCCCTGATTGGGTGGTGTTTTAAAGATGACAACGGTTTAACTTTTGGGTCGTCGAATCCGAGAGCGTGTCTAACGGGAAAGTCCCTTTTGGTTAGCGTGGTGGTGAATAGACTTGGCGAGAAGGAACTTCATCCCTTGGCCAAACTCTGAGTAAACCTTAATTCAAGGTGCTAGTTGCTTCAAACATATTCGGATCGGATGGTCTGGGAGCTGGCTGTGTTACGAGGCATTATTCGACTCTCCCTAGTGGCGATATAATCGCTGTGCACGCGCACTCGTCTGCTACACGTATCGGCGTATGGCTGATATTGATCACGTGATCACAGAGTTTGTTTGCACCATGCAGACGGCTTTCCGGTTTCTGTCTCTTCTTGGTGGGCGCCGAAAGCGTATCGTCTGCGAACAATCTGTCGAAAGTGGGAGGCTGGGGATGAGGGTATTGATTCGTAATGGCTGAGCATGATCGGGGGTCAAAAAGGCACAATGAAGTGTTGTTTTCGGACTTCCTCCTACCGTCGACGTCAGTCTTGGCCCATGGAGGACGCGGCCATCTGGACCAGCTTGCGTGTGGACCGCTTGCGACTGTTCCCGGACTGCCCGTTTCTGCGTGGACCGAAGGTTGGAGATAGGCGCATTTATATCGAGAGTGAATAAGGAAAATTTGGCGTTTACAAAAACAACTCGTTCAATATGTTTTGTTTTTTTTTAGAGCGAAGCTAGCTCTTAGGCGTTTTTTTCCGGCTTGAGCGGCGTCGCCGTCGGCGTAACCGTGGCGACGTTTCGGCACCGTGCCGAAACGTCCGCGCGGGGTCACGTGTCACCCCTTTCGGGGGGGGGGGGGGGGTGTCAGGGGGGTCACGTGACCCCCTGAGGGGGGTTGGTGACCCCCTGAGGTCACGAGAATCACGGGACCTTGCGGTTACGCCGACGCCGCTTGGAGGGAGGAGCAGCATGGTGAGGAGGAGGGGTATACCCTTTCCTCAGTACCCTTCCCTCCTCCTCCTCAAGAGCTGCGGTCTAATTCGGCGTTGCGGGGAGTTGTAAACGGCTTTCATTTTATTTTTATGTTGACACGATTGATTTGTGGAGTTAAATATGCATGCATGGTGAAGAATCCTGATGGGCTTAAAGAAAGCATGAGGCTGGCCATTTCAAATGCAAAGACAGCTACGAATGCTTAGAAACTAGCCGTTTTGAATGGAGCAACATTGAACCTGACTAAACAACTTGAATCAAATATTGTATTAAATCAAACTTGATGACACCTGTTGTGGAATGCCTAACTACTTTATTATAGAACTCAAGAAGGTAGGGCGAGGGAAACGAAGGCTAGGGAGAAACACGCGGAACGCTGGTGAGGAGAGGGAATTCCTCCTCCTCCAGCGTTTTGTCTTCTTCCTCCTCCCCGGCCTTCCTTTCCCTTGTCCTCCCTTTTGTGAACGTTAGGATTATCGAATTTTCCCAACCAATCTTTCGTTTTTGCAAGGATGCCGCAAAATAACGATCGAAGCTATCACTAAGTGTTGCACTCCGGGAGCAGTTTGCAAGCACTGGGCAGTAACGTTATTACCTTCGCCGAAAAATGCTGGGCGTAGCATGCGAACCGCCATTCTTTGCTTGGTTTAGAAGTCACAGTTTACGCTTGCGTTAGCAGACGAACCACAGTTGTTCACTTGGGTTACCGTCAACGAGCTTGAATGGCACGGTTTCCGCCATCTTGTCCGTTTGCCACATCACGGATCAGATGGCTACACCCAGAGCTGGGCAAGATCATGGTCAGCAGATTAAGCCATCTGGGGCTGTTTTCCAATCTTTCTCGAATAGATTCGAGTTGTTCCGGCAGGTCATGTCACGTGACAAGACAGATAGAGCAACTGGACGCGGGTAGGTTTTCGAACGTTAAGGTACAGAACCTTTACCCTAGAGTAAGATTGAGTAAATTTTGAAACATGACCCTGCTGACCGTGATCTGGCCAGTCTGATCTGCCCACCTCTGGGTGCAGCCATCTTGATGTTACATGATCACTAATGTGGCGAACGGACAATATGGCAGCAAATGGGGAGGTGCCATTTTCGACCACTTGCGCCGTGGCCGTGGCACCGCGGGTGAGGCCCTTGCCCTCACCCGCGGGTTTTATTTCACATTGTCCACACCTCTCTGTCATCTATTGGGCAGGAGATCGAACTATAGGGGGCGCTCTGACCCGTTTGTTTTCCCCACGCTCGGTGTTTACTCAACACAAGGCCTGTACACATGCCAACAGGCCTTATGGGCATGGCCATGTCATCTTCTACAATAGAGCGCGGGGCACAGTTTAATGTAAAACATACTAACAATCGACGAAGCGACGTTAAGTGCCGGATCTATCTTCTGAGAATGCGAGCTTGACCCACTTCGGCTTTTGTGCTAAGCTGGGATCGTGCATGCTGCATTGTTCATCCAGGCCGTCGTGGAAGCAAAAGAGCCCCTCCTCCCCCTCGCCGGAGAACACGAACTCCAGCCGAACGCTGACGCCGCGTTCGGTTATGTCGGCCGAGCGCTGCGTCATTGTATTTGTTGTCCCCATCCGTGTAGTTGATAAGTTAGCCGCTTGGGGCGTAACGGTCTGTCCTCCTCAATACGTTGTCGTCCTCCCCTTGTACATATCATCTCATAATCATCATCACTAGACGTGGCGCCGCGGGCCTCCGTGGTACAGGCTCGCTTTCCGCGGTGCCACGGCTCTCTTGAGCCAATAAAGATTATTATTATTATTACTACTACTGTTCTCAGTTTACTCAAGCTCGTTGGTTTACCATACAAATCACAGTTCTTTGTTTGGGTTACCATACAAACCGGAGCTCTTCGTTTGCAGCAAGCAATGAGCTAAGGCTCGCTATAGCCGCCGAATAGACTATGCGGATAAAAAATACTCACTGCTTGCCGGACTGGCGGTACTTGTCGATGTGCGTCCAGAGGCCAGAGAGCAGCGTGGAGACGTCGTCCAGTGCGTATTCTTCGACCATGTCCTGGACGGTCCTGCCGAGGGCGTCTTCGATGGCCAGGTTGGCGCCCCAGGACAATAGGGTCCGCACGCAGTCGGCGTAGTTGCTGCGCACAGGACTCGCGTATTAGCCGCGGCGTTCGACCTCCACGCGCGCTGCGGCAAGGAGCGGAACTACGGTCATCTCACTATGGCTTCCGAGATATTTTTCGCGCGTGGCTGCGCTTGTATTTTGAGCCTGATGACTGTATTATTTTTTTATATATATATATATTTTTTTTATAAACGGCCCACTTTGGCAAACGCTCGGAGAGTAGCCAGCGAAGAGTATATGTCACATCCGGCGCAATCGTGACGTAGTTTGTCTCGGGATGAGCAAACCTGCGCCGAGGCTGACGTCGTCAGGATGCCCTAGCCGTTCCAGCCACCGAAGCCGTGCTTTTGTACGAACTTTGAGTGACGCTTGTTAATCTATAATCACGTAGAGGGAGAATAGCAACGTCTGGGAGACACAAAAAAAAGAGTCCCGTTGAGTGGGGAGTTCCTCCCTCCCCTCATCTCTTGCGCTGGCCCTAGAGCTGTCGGGAGGACTTCAGGTTCAAAGCATGTATAGTTCTAGGCGAGACAGTTATCGTCACTACCTGTCAAGGTTCCCAGACGGGCATTACAAACGAGGCTTCAGCGAAATCCACGAGGTGCTCTTTGGTAATCATGTCATATAACACCCGAGACTGTGGTGGAAGAACTTGGGAACTTTTTAGTAGAAGGAACATACACAGAAGCTATCACCAGCTCGCCTGCACACTCACTGTCTTTTCACTTGCTCTTTGCTAATTGTCCAATTTGTTTTAAAATTCCTTTTCGTGTCTTTTTTTTTTTAACAAGATATTAATGTCCGACGTGATACTGCTCTTTTTAAAACGTACAGACCAAAAAATCAGCGCCAAAATTTCGTTGTAGTATCCCTTTAAACCAAATCAGAGTAACTGTGCAGTTACCCTAGCAGAGTAACTGTATAGACTCTGCTTGCGGAGCATATACATATATGCTTCGCAAGCAGAGTCTGTAAAGTTACTTTACAGTGTACGCTCTGCTTGCGAAGCCAGAGTATCCCGTTCAGGTTCTTTTCGCCGTCAATTCCGTATTGGCGAAGAAGCGTTCACGTGCGCCGAGCTGGATCCAAATTTCATGCGGGAAAGCGAACTCGCAGGAAAGTTTCGGGCAGTGCATGTTTCTCGCTTTGCGTTTGCGAAATATATATGCTACACTAAAATCGAACGGACTAGGGGCTCCCTTGACCCCATTGGAGACTATGTGTAGCCACTGGGTACAGCATTCTTTTGTAACAGAGCGATGCTTTACAACGCGTTTCTGAAGTCTGGGAAGCAGACGACTCGGAGCACGGCACATCCGAGCACCGCGGACCAGACAACAACGTGCAGCTACGGCTTGCGTAGGAACAAAGTTTTCGTCGGCTACTACAAATGACGGCCCTACGGAGCACGCGACGCTTCACATTTGCGCGGCCACGCCATCCGCTCCTCCTGCAGAAGCGACGGGCGCTTCCCGCAGTGTGGCCTTGAATCCAACATGGCTGCCCTGAAAGCGCCATTGCGATACTCTGCTCCGCAAGCGGAGCATATACAGTTATTGTAAACCAAACCAGAACCAATAATACAAAAAAAGAGAGCCACGAATGATCATCATCATTATCATAGGCGGAAAGTTTTCAATTTCCCGGGGGAGGGGAGGAGGACGGGTCCGCCCCCCCCCCCCCCCCACCCCCTCCCCCGGCAAATAATATCACAAACATTTTGTTTGTAATATTGCTGGAACAATGCTCACATGCGAGGTCCCACCTTAGTCCTCCGTGTCTCGAATGGGACGAAGACAGTGAGAACAGCACGCAAACTAACCAACGGTGCAGCGATAAAGAGCTAGTAAAACTGAAATTATAATGCAATTAAATGCACCTAGCTGTGTTTGGAGATTTATGTTTGTCCTTTGTCCCTCTTGTTCCCCTTCTCCAGGGATTATTTTCGTCATAAAACTGAAACTTCGTTTTCTACAATCGCTCGTACAAAGAGCAGAAAATAAAAAAAAGTCGTAGGCACGGTCGCGGAGAGCACGAGGAGTGAAACTCGCGTGACTTCCTGCGAACCCACTTTTAGTGACGTATGTCGATGCCTCCCCTCTGACCGCCCCGACACCTTGCGGTACACTGTTACGTCACAGTGCACTGGCGGGAACTTTGAATTGGGCCTCGTATTTCTATTTTTTATAAAAAAAGCTACGCACCTCTATAGTGAAACAATTTTTTTTGTAATGTCCTGACATGCCATTTCAACGCCTAGCATGAAAACAATTTTTTTTTTTTGGCGTGTCAGAGGCCCTTTAAAGGACCTTGGCAACGATATTCAATTGGAAGGTTTTTCACTCTACACGAGCTTACTGGCACACCTGGGACTCAAGGATACCCACACGCAACGCCACTGGCCAAGAAACTCCTTTGTTGCGGTGTAATTTCAAGGACAAAAGCGATCATTTTCATTCAATCTCTCCTTTGCAAAATTTGATGACGTAACGTGGGGATCGCAGTACACCCAAGTGACGATATTTGAATGCGGTTCATAGATTGGACCCGAGCATTGCGTGGGCACTCGACTTGGGCTCGTGATAATTGCTAGCTCGAGAAGCATTCGGGTAGTGACCCGTGTCCAATCGCTGCAACGACGACAACAGCCGAGCCATAACAATGTCTGGAAGTCAGCGCGTGTCCTGCGCTTTGCCAACCCCAGCGCGAGGCTATGATCAACACTGGCGGCATATAATCGGCTCCAGATCACGTGGCCGCTTGTTCTGGCTGCGAGTTGAGGGGGTGAACGCTGATCGTTTTTCTTAAATTTTTTTTTTGGGACGTCTATTGCGTGGGGTGAAGAACGAACGCCCGTTTCATAGGTCATTAACATTAGGGATCCGTTTTAAGCGGTATTTTCGCAAAGTACAAAAATTGTTGCATCGCTCCTTTAAAGGAGCGGTGCAACGATATCCAATTGGCATGTTTCTCACTTGACACGAGCTTACTGGCACTAGTTGGACTCAAGGATACTCACACGCAACGCCACTGGCCAAGAAACTCCTTTGTTGCGGTGTAATTTCAAGGACAAAAGCGATCATTTTCATTCAATCTCTCCTTTGCAAAATTTGATAACGTAACGTGGGGATCGCTGTACACCGAAGTGACGATATTTGAATGCGGTTCATAGATTGGACCCGAGCATTGCGTAGGCACTCGACTTGGGCTCGCTATAATTGATCGCTCGTGAAGCATTCGGGTAGTGACCCGTGTCCAATCGCTGCAACGACGACAACAGCCGAGCCATGACAAGTGGCCGAGTGGACTGAAGCGCTCGACGCGCGTGGAGCGAAAGCTCGCGCTGCAGAACCCAGGGATCCTGGGTTCGAGCCCCACCCCTGCCCGTTTCGATCTGGATGAGCATCGTACCGGCGTGCGGTCGTGTATCACTACTGCGTGGTGCACGTTAAAGACCCCAGGCTAGCGGTTGTACTGCACTGGCTAAATTGCTCATCTACAGCGTGTGACTCGTCGCAACTTTAATGGCAGACCAACTACACGCTGTATAAATTTCCCCAAAAAACCCCAATTATTATTCTGGAACTCAGCGCGTGTCCTGCGCTTTGCCAACCCCAGCGCGTGGCTATGATCAACACTGCGCGGCATATAATCGGCTCCAGATCACGTGGCCGCTTGTTCTGGCTGCGAGTTGAGGGGGTGAACGCCGCTTGTTTTTAATTTTTTCTGGGACTTCTATTGCGTGGGGTGAAAAACGAACGCGTGTTTCATAGGTCATTAACGTTAGGGATCCGTTTTAAGCGGTATTTGCGCAAAACACAAAAATTGTTGCATCGCTCCTTTAAGGGTGAACAGAGTATAAGGGCTCGTTCACACAGTGGCGTTCGAGCGCGACTGCCACCACTTGCGCCTCGCTAAAGCCTAGTTCACATGCAGCGGTTTTGGCCCTAGAGCGGCGCGATTTCTGCCGTCGCGGCGCTCTGGCCAGCACCAGCAATTCTGCGGCACGAGCGCCGCGACGGCAGAAATCGCGCCGCTTTAAGCCTAGTTCACATGCAGCGATTTTGGCCCTAGGGCGGCGCGATTTCTGCCGTCGCGGCGCTCTGGCCAGCACCAGCAATTCTGCGGCACGAGCGCCGCGACGGCAGAAATCGCGCCGCTTTAAGCCTATCGTAATCGTAATCGTAATCTTTATTGGCTCAGGAGAGCCGTGGCACCGCGGAAAGGCGACAGCCCGTACCAGGGAGGCCCGCGGTGCCACGTCTATAGTGATGATGATGATGAGATGATATATACTAGTTCACATGCAGCGATTTTGGCCCTAGAGCGGCGTGATTTCTGCCGTCGCGGCGCTCTGGCCAGCACCAGCAATTCTGCGGCACGAGCGCCGCGACGGCAGAAATCGCGCCGCTTTAAGCCTAGTTCACATGCAGCGATTTTGGCCCTAGGGCGGCGCGATTTCTGCCGTCGCGGCGCTCTGGCCAGCACCAGCAATTCTGCGGCACGAGCGCCGCGACGGCAGAAATCGCGCCGCTTTAAGCCTAGTTCACATGCAGCGATTTTGGCCCTAGGGCGGCGCGATTTCTGCCGTCGCGGCGCTCTGGCCAGCACCAGCAATTCTGCGGCACGAGCGCCGCGACGGCAGAAATCGCGCCGCTTTAAGCCTATCGTAATCGTAATCGTAATCTTTATTGGCTCAGGAGAGCCGTGGCACCGCGGAAAGGCGACAGCCCGTACCAGGGAGGCCCGCGGTGCCACGTCTATAGTGATGATGATGATGAGATGATATATACTAGTTCACATGCAGCGATTTTGGCCCTAGAGCGGCGCGATTTCTGCCGTCGCGGCGCTCTGGCCAGCACCAGCAATTCTGCGGCACGAGCGCCGCGACGGCAGAAATCGCGCCGCTTTAAGCCTATCGTAATCGTAATCGTAATCTTTATTGGCTCAGGAGAGCCGTGGCACCGCGGAAAGGCGACAGCCCGTACCAGGGAGGCCCGCGGTGCCACGTCT